ATGTAAATGTAACTTATGTAACATTATCCTAACCACTCAAACAAATTGCAGTAATATCGCCCAAAAAATGAATCCCCAAATGGCATTTTAATCATAAATATGCAAGAAACACGCCAGCAATCGGATTTTATTAAGACATTTAACAGTCGGGAATTGTTTTCGAATTTTGATACTTGGTGATTTTTGGTTTTATCAGAAACCTAAATTTGTCAACTGAATCACAATCAGGAGGTCAAAATTATAAAGAAAACATGTCACGAACGTAAATATCGGTTGAGGTTTAGTTTTCGCAAATGTTCACCAAAATGTCATTTTGAAAAAGTGGTCTTTGCTTAGGCCCCTCTGAAAATAATGGAAGTTTGTTGCTTGTCGCTTGTTCAGAATTATTCATCTTTCACCATTTTATCTTCTTGTTCTTAAAAAGACTGAGTGTATTGCCTACCAGAAACCCTTAAATGTACTCTTTTGAAAAAAAAATCATATTTTCGTTGCTAAGATTCCAATTCGAAAAATTTGAAAACCTTTTCAAGGTAAGACATAATACTTCATTATTTCAAAGTAAAAACGAGAAAAAATATTTCTTTTTTCAAACGGAGCTTGGACAAAGTTATTGAAATTTTTCACCGTTTTACATATCACCCTATACGAAATTTACTTAAAAAACCGTGAGCTTCATATCTATAGCATGAATTGCCAGAGGATGGGGCTAGTAGACATTACAGACCAAAATAAAATCGTTTAAGAAACAAAAAAGTTATGTCGTTTTGAAAAAGGACGAACTTTTTGGTCGCGATACATTGAGTGGTGCGCAGTTTAGTAAAACGGCGTTCCATAGACCTCTTAATAATACTAGCAGGCTTCTAGAATATTGAATTAAAAAAATAGTTCTTTTAATTACAGTAGTATTTACTATAATATTATTTTAAATTTAAATTTCAAGCGTTGGCAAAACTGTTAACGTTGGTAGCAATGAAATAAGAAAATACGGTAGTGACAAGTTAAAATCATCATTAATAGCTATTTATGCACCAAGGCTGCAGCCTATGGTATTAAGATAAGCGACACCCAGCTCGAGGGTATGTCGCTCGATGAGCCTAATCATCTAATAACGCCAGTGGTTTAATTAATGTCTTTTTACCTGAAAAGTTAATTAATAAAGTTAAATGATATTCTTTTTTGCGTCTCTAGCGACTTACTTATCTACGTAAAGCACTAGCGTTATTGTACTTTTTCAAACATAGCTTCAGCTTCTTTTATTTCAAATTTTGCGGTGGCATTACCAATTAAAAGTTATAAATCTAATTGTGGTTATGTATAAATTATTGTAGGTTACATTGTGCAGTTGTCAAGTTGAGTTGTCGAAATTCGTAGTTAAAAATGCAGTTAATTTGGCGTTGGTGGTGCTTGGATGAGTAAAATCATATAAAAAAGTAGTTAAATATAGGTTGCTTTACGTCCCAGAAGAGAAAGTATTCCAAGCGGTTAATAATCTTCGCTTTGAAAAGATTTTATATAAAAGAAATAAAAATTTTTTGTAAACGTAAATGTTGTCCAATGGTGAATAATGTGAAAATAATGTGTGATGTAATATTTATAAAACCAAATTCGTTACTTTTTTACTCCAAAAATTTCCATAAGGCGATGTACTTTTTCTTCCATTGTGGCATTTGCCATAATTTCATCAAAATGAAGTTTTGCCCTCAAAAGGGCTTTTACATTCGAATTCTTTGCTATTATTTTTGGCATAATTGTCTTTTTATTTATAATTGACAAGTAAATTATCAATAATAAATATTATTGTCAATTTGACAGTGTCAAAGTATTTAATTAAATTCTTTAGCAGAAGTCCCAATTTTTAAATACTAAAAATACTAAGTCAAACTGGCATAATAATAAAAAACCTAATAAAAAAACACGAGTCCAGATAAAAAAAATGAACTGTAGTGAAGCCTAAAAAAAAACTATAACAAAAAACTTTTATACAAATTTAAAATTTTTTAACGTTTAAGGCTTAGCCACCTGATATCATCTTGCATATAAAAAGGGGGTTGTAATTAAAAAAAAAAGTTGGCCTTCTTTGATGGCCACGTAATTATTTTTTTGTTGGCAATATCACCGTAAAATTGAAATAAACTACCAAACAACTTCTATTACAATTATTTTTTAATATTTTCGATATTTCAAAAGTTACACTCAATATTCCAAACTTTCGAGCCACCCTGTATATATATATATATATATATAAATTAATAATTCAAAACCCACGTTATCCAGATAGGATACTAAATTTCTAAATAACATTTTAGAAAAAAGTAAATTTTTTAATATCAATTTGTCAAAAATGTGTGAAATTATTTGAAGATAATTACTGTAGTTAAGGATAATAGTGGAAGTATACTCCTACTAGTTGCTGTAATTTAGGCAAGCGTCGTGGAAATCATTAAAAGTCCCAAAATAGACTTCTTCCCAGCGTGGTCAAGGTTTAAACGAACAAAGTGTTTCGGTCTCTGGTGGGATTAAAATAGATTAATTTCCGATTAAAGGGTTTTATACCACATTAGGTTCGGGAGAATGGGCATTCCATGCGAATAAATACCTCCATTTCAGTAATTTTAGATTTCAATCTTTTAGAAAGTACCATTTTTAAAATTAAAATGTTCTTTGGATGGGCAAAGGATTTTTCGTCTTTGAAATGCAAAATGGAATATTAAATCTTCTTTCAGGTGAGATGTAGAAAGGTCAACTTCTCACAAAGATGCAAATGATTATTAAAAACTTGTTTTAAAGCGTGCTGCTGCTGATACGGTTTTGATCCCAGTTCATATCGATATGAATTATTCAACGATATGCGATATGGGATTCATTAAATTTATGATTCCACTTTTATGACTGCATTATTCAATATAATAATTATTATATCGCAGTTGCAATCAACCTACTTTGAAGCTACACACACAGGTAATTATGATTTATGTGACTCACCCCAATAGTTCTGCGTTAAAATTAATTCAATTTCAATATACATAAATTTAACTATTATATAAATAGTGAAAAAGTGTATATTAACATTAAAAGATTAAAAGATTGGAAAAACGCGAACCACACCACACCATTTAATGTTGAGAATTACCTAGCTTTCAATCTGTTCGTCAATAGTATGATTTCGTATAAATACTGTTTAAACCAGATTAAAATTATTAAAAAACCTGAAAAAATTAATTAATAAGCTTTAACAGGGTAAAGCAGGGGAGTAGTATGTTTTTAAAATTGGACGTACCTACTTGGCCACAAGGCAATACGGGGAAATTGAAACACGTGTATATTAATTAAAACCATCAAAAATATGATATTTCAAGTCTATTGATTTTAATATGCCCGAAAGGGATTTTCTTTCATTTATACTTATTTAATCCGTTTTAGAAAAAATGTTTTTTGCAACACGGATGTTGGAAGACCAGCTTTAAGTAAAAGCCTTATTAAAGGAAAATCTCGTTTTTTAATATCACGTTGACATAAGAACTCTTGTGAAAGATTTTATGTTAGATCCTTATTTTTCTTAAAACTTTATAACATTTTCTGAATAAATATTGAATATAAATTGCGAATAGCAGCAATACAAATATATTTAAGATATTTTAAGTAAGAACAAAAGAGGAAAAAGAAATGAAATCAAAGTTCCCCATTCGATTCGTTTTTTATTTGTACAAATTCTGAATAAAAATAAAAAAAATGAGCTTTTGTATTGCTATTTATTCTGCTGAAAATATATTAAATTTATTTTTTTCGTATTTGTGACGCTTTCTACGTGACATGATTCGGCATGATAGATGATGCCCTTAAGAAACACACAATAACGAAATTTATCTTATTTCCCAAATGAAAAATGACTTTTATTTTAACTTTCTTTATTCGTTTGGGAAAATTTTAAATTTTAAGAAGGAAATCAAGAATTGAATTTTATGTTGTAGGAGTTGTATTTTATGGTCCAATTACGCTTTTCTTCCTTTCAATATGTTACTGTCAAAAGTCAAAGGAAATTACACATGCAAATGTCTAACTAAAACTTAATGTTTCATAAAAGACAAATACACAGAATTTAATTCAAGGAGCACAGCAGACAGAAAGTCGACCTGGAAGTTAAAGTAGCACAAACTGTCTAAATAAATAATACACTGTTACGTTTCCCCATACCCATATAGGTATCTAAATAATCTGACTGATATAGAACTGTCTATATTAAATACATTAAATATGAAATTGAGCTTGTAAAGGAAGTTAGCAAACAATGCTCATTCATAAAAGCATGGTTGAACGGACTTGTTCTATGAAAGGAAACTTTCATTGATAAAGTGTAACATGGCAAATTTTCCCCCGAATTTTCAAAGCATAGCCGGCATATGTAAATAACAACCGGATGTCATCTAGCAAATTTCAGAGAATTGTTTTCAGTAAATGAGTATAAATCCGTTAAAAACAGAGACAAAACATTCCAATTCTTCGAAGTGGCAGAGGGCAAGGTATAGTATTGAACGACTAGCTGTTGCATTTTCATTCACAATTTTCCATGCGTTAAAGGAAACGAAAATCGGTCTCAAATCGTCCCAGTTTATATTCCACTCTATTTACTTTAACAACTTCCTATTTGGAGAAATTCATCATTTTTAAGGGTCAAAAAAAAACCGTAAAATATTCCAAAATAAAAATATCTTTAAAAATTCTATAAACGATAACCCGATTGGTCTAAATTATTTTTACATGTTGACAATAAAATTTAAATTATAGAACGCTTAAAGATAAATAATATTTATATTAGTGTATAAGCTCAAATATTCCAATATGGAATTGACCTGTCACATACTTCCACCATTGACTAACTCAACGCTTCCACCATAGAAAAAGTGTGGAACATGGAACCTTTGAAAGTATGTGCTTTCTCACGACGATCAGCAAAACTAACCAATAAAGTTGCAGGTTTCTGCATTACGTGACCGGGTGCGACACTTTGACAGATAGCCTAACCTAAAAATCCGATATCATTTCATAACCAAGTTATTTTTGGTGTTGCATGTAATTTAACACTCGAAATGGCTTGCAGAATTTTAAGAAAACAGCCCCTAAAGCTGGGCCACAACATAATAAGGGTAAAATTAATGAAAATCGTGATTTTTAGCAATAATTTGTGAAATTTTAGGCACAGTCTACAATGTCAGCCTTTGAAATCCAGCACAAAACTCCATTAATAAGAAAAACCGTAATAATATCCAACTACTCCTAACAAAAGAAAAACTAAAGTTAATATTTTTAGGAACCAATCCCAGTGGCTTTGTATGGGGGCAGAAATGCAGTAACGATGCTTCCTGGTGGAGGTATTGGCCCTGAACTGATGGGTTATGTGAAAGAGGTCTTTAAATATGCCGGCGCGCCAGTGGACTTTGAAGTCGTCGAAATCGACGAAAAGTCGGAAGACAACGACGACTTAGATTACGCTATAACCTCAATCAAGAGAAATGGGGTTGCCATTAAGGGTAACATTGAAACAAAAAGTGAAAGTGCCAATGTTACATCAAGAAATGTTGCTATAAGAAACGAGCTGGATTTGTATGTGAATGTTTTAAATTGTAAGTCATATCCAGGAGTACCAGCCAGACAAAGCAACATCGATGTGGTTATTATTAGGCAAAATACTGAAGGTGAATATGCTATGTTGGAACATGAGGTTAGTTCAACATTTGATTGTTATTATGTTGTATACATAAATTTATTATTTTAGAGTGTGGATGGGGTGGTAGAAAGCATGAAAGTTGTAACCAAGTCAAACTCTGACAGAGTAGCCAGATTTGCTTTTGAATATGCTAAAAAAAATGGCAGGAAGAAGATCACAACCATCCACAAAGCCAACATCATGTAAAAACACCTCACAAAATATACAATACTAAATTTAAACATATATATTGCAGGAAACTCTCTGACGGTTTATTCTTGGAAACCTCCAAAAAAATCGCCAAGGAATATCCAGAAATAGAACACAATGACATGATTATCGATAACTGCTGCATGCAGCTTGTATCAAACCCTCATCAATTCGATGTCATGATTATGACAAATTTATATGGCAGCATTGTTTCAAATGTTGTTTGTGGAGTAATTGGTGGAGCTGGATTATTATCCGGTAAAAATTATGGCGATCATGTAAGTCAAATATTGATTTATTCAACACTTAAAATAAACTGATTATTTTCTTTAGTATGCTATTTTTGAACCTGGTACCAGAAACACTGGCACAGCAATTGCCGGAAAAAACATAGCAAACCCAATTGCCATGCTGAATGCATCAGTGGATATGTTACGTCACTTGGGGCACTCTCAACATGCTGAATTAATACAGAGAGCCATCAATAGGACAGTTAGTGAAGATCATATTCACACCCCAGGTAAATATAATTATACTAGCTGGTGTATTTATTAATTCATAAATAAACCAATTTTTATTTGTTATAGATTTGGGTGGTTCTGCCAAAAGCACAGACGTTGTCTCCAGAATAATCGACCATATTATGCAAGACACAAGACATTGGTAAAACATATAAAATATAAAACTAATATGTGTTGTCTATTTTGCTTTTGTACTAACATGTAACATGTTTTGTTCTATTTTAATGTATTCAGGAATGGCTGTTTGCTTTTAATATAGGTGATGGATCAAACTAACAATGCACAATTACCCCAGCTAGCTGGGCACATACTCGTACATTTCCCAATTAAATTGCAGTATTATAATACATTTTTTGTAAAGTTCCTTATTAGTTTTTTTTATTTACAGAGCACCATGCAACTGTTAATAATGTACAATATATACCATGTGTATATAAACAATAAGTATTTAACCTTTTCTAAAGAGAATATGTAATATATGACAAGTAATAATTTAATGTAATTATTTATTTAAATGAATAAATATTGTTCCTTACTAATTCAAGCTGAGTCTTATTTAAGATTTGAGAATAAATTAACACAGGAGGGTGTTTCATGAAATAATCGACTTTCTTTCTATAGAAAGCAATAAACCAATCAGAGCATGGCTTTCTTCTTTGGAGAATACCATTCTCTAATTAGTTTATTGCTTTTTATAGACAAAATTTTCTATAAAAAGTTCAGTAGCAAATTTCAGAAAACACCCCCAGGTTGTTTTTTAAATACAAAAACTTACCCCATTTCATCCATGAAAACAATTCTCAAAAACACTTCTCTTATACCTACAATCCAAAATAAATAACTAACAGGCAAATTTTTACTGGGCCTGCTGCTGGTCCGTACTGGCACTTTGTTAGCTGGGAAATGACATTGTTTTTTATTTAATTCAAATACAATTTACTTTATTTCCCATTAAAACACACATTTTTATAAAATCATTTGCAAAAAACAATTAACTAGCTACATTGTTAAATGACACGATGTGTAACCCACCAATCAGATTTCGCCTTACGGTACATGCCCATTACAATTTAATTTAATAAAAACAATTTAATTAAACCAAATATACAAAAACCTTCTAAAATTCATATAAAACCTTTAAAAGCCATAAACTCCATAAACTTGTTGTCAATTTTTAGTAATTACAAAAACAATTAATTAAATGTCATTCAAATTCTGGCCTTCTATTGGTCGATTTAATTAATTCGGCCAATTGGACTCATTGTTTATAACCGTCACACGTGCCATCTTGTTATTAAAGTTGTCGCATAAAAAGTAACGATTTCGGGAATTTTATAGTGTTAAAGTGTTTCGAAATCTATTTAGCAGACTTTTTCACAATGTTGTGGATATTTTAAGGTAAGTGGATTGTTTTTTTAACATGTTGTTTAAAGAAAACCAGTTTTTAAATAAATATTGTCAAATTTTATTGCCAAAAAGTCCTTTACCACGTATTGAGCAAAGTTGGAATGTCGCAAAGAATAAAATCATTTAAAACAGTGTATAAATAAAAAGGTTTCAACCAAAAATCAACAATCCTTAACCATACAATATAAATATTAAAAAATATACCTATAAGGAAAGTATTTACACATAGGAATGTATATTTTGTAGGTAAATTGTTAAAGCTTTGGATTTTTCCATTTGTACGACCCTGTGTATGTAAAATCATTGTTCAACAGCAGTTCATCAGCCTCTTTAGGGCCCCTACTTCCATAACTAAAAAGAATAAGATAAAAAACAGTGACAAAATAAAAGTGTAACTATACATACACATATGGAATGGGTTTAATTTTTTCATTTTCAATTTTGTGTAAAAGTGGAGTAAAAATCCTCCAGGCCTCACTTAACTCATCAGATCTTACAAAGTGCATTTGTGAGCCACAGAAAACATCCAAAACCAACCTCTCGTATGCATCAGGTAGTTTGACATTCTAAAATTCAATTAAATTGTAAAAGATTTTAAAAAATATATATATTTAACTAACAGCATATCTGCTACCATAGGTTAAATCCAATTCAGTTTCTTCCATATTAAAAGCCATTCCTGGAGTTTTCACCATCATTTTTACATAAAGAGCTTCACCAGGTTGCACCCTGATCACCAACTCGTTTCTTTTACCTTTACCATCAAAGATATCACCAGCAACATCTTTGTACTGAACCCTTACTTCCGCTTTTCTGTCATTTAAAGCTAAAGAAATTTAATATATATATGTTACATATAATATGTAGGTAAGTATATGTGTTTGAATTGCGAATTTACTTTCTATAGAAAATCAACTTTATAGAAAGTTTAAACCAATCAGAGCTGTGCTTTGATTGGTTTATTTCTTTCTATAAAGATAATCTATCTATAGAAATGAAGTAAATTTATTTGCTAACAATAGGTATAATTACATAAAAATAATTACATAAAAATGCAGCATATCAATAAAAAATCATGCATAAAACACTAAGGAGACATGCTTTTAGATAAGATTTGGAAAATATACCAATATTTTTGTGTAAAATTATCAATGATTAACCATAATATATATGTTCTTATGTAATGATGTGATAAAACTGACCTTTGCCACACTTTAGTATGAAGGGAACACCATCCCATCTTTCATTGTTAATTTTTAGTACCGCTAAAGCATAGGTGGGGGTTACGGAACCCTCTGGTACAGTTTTGTCATCTAGGTACCCCAATTTGGCGTCCCCCTCGCCGTCAGGGTTGCCAACATATTGCCCCAAAACGACGTCTTTAATCTCAAGTTGCTTCACATTTTTCAATACTTTTACCTAGAAAAAAAGGGTTTTAAATGTTTAAATTGTACCTAATTGTTACCTTTTCGTTTCTAATGTCATCTGGATGACAGGAAGCGGGCTTCTCCATGGCCACCAAGGTTAAAATTTGCAGTAAGTGATTCTGCATGATGTCCCTGATAATTCCAAATTCATCAAAATACCCTCCTCTGCCTTGGGTTCCAAATGGTTCCTTGAAACTAATCTGAATAGAAGCTATGTTGTCCCTGTTCCAGGTAGGGTTGAATATTCTGTTGCCAAATCTAAGAGTCATTAAATTTTGCACCATTTCTTTGCCCAAATAGTGATCAATTCTGTAGATTTGTTGTTCAGTGAAAAGAGAAGCCAAATGATTTGATAGTTTTTGTGATGTGGCACTATCTTTTCCAAAAGGTTTTTCAATTATGATTCTTGACCATCCCCTTTAAAAAAAATATATTAGTAAAATATAATAATGCACATAGAATTAAGACGTACTTTAGTGCCATACAGGCATTTCTGATGTGTACAGTGACCTCCTCAAAAACTGAAGGTGGCAAGGCCAAATAAAAAATCCTGTTTGCTACTGATCCAGTTTCGAATCTTGACAATTCTTGGTTGAGTTTTTCAAAATCTGTTCGACTGTCATATCCACCAGCCATATAGTGATTTAAACTCCAAAATTCATTGTATCTCTCCTCTTCATTCGGCTTGACTTTCATGTATTGATCACATTTTTGCCTGATCTCCTCAATGGAGGTTTTACTTCTAGCATAACCAAAGAACACAGTGTTAGCTGGAAGTAGGTTATCTCTAAACAGCCACCATAAAGTGGGGTAGATTTTTTTTCTTGCCAAGTCGCCCTAGAAAATAATCATTTTTTTATTGATAATATCATGAAGGTTTATGTACGTACTGAAGCTCCCAGTGTAATAAACACATGAGGGTCTTGTCCATCCCATTGGGTTCCATCATGTTCCATATCCTTTGACTTCAAGGATTTTCTGTATAAAGCCAGACATAATTCCGAGTTTTTCGTGTCTGTAAGCAAAATATTAAAATTATAATAAACAATTCAGTTTAAAGAAAACAATACCCTCAGCCTCGCAAAATGTCTTATCCCACCTTCTAGACATATTTACTTCAATATTTTTTTTAACTTTTAAACTATGTGGCCCAGATAAAAAGGAATGATCGAGTAAAAGTAACGGCAAATTTTGAAATCAAGTGCAATTATTTGGGAAAATTGAGATTAGATGACTTTCATAAACATTTCAATAACACTCAATTCAAGGTTAACCACTTTGGTCAATTTCAAACTTTTCCCGCCAAAATTCAATTATGCAACAAGTTGTTATTTTCATTTGTAAATCAATGCACTGAATTTATTATCAAGTCTATGCAGATTAGTGTAGCCAATATTTTTGGGCAACACTGTATGTTGTTTTAATAAAATTCACAATCTAGTTTCTTGCGGTGACAATTATATTATAATCTTATGATAAGATTCTTATCCTCATATATGTTACCTACAAAATAATTCCAATTTTTTTAAAATATTATATTATTATTATTTTTATTAAAACATGATGTTACTTAGATATAATTATACCCAACAAAATAATGAATAGGTAACTGTTAACTTGATTATGAATTGTCATAAGTTTCCCAAACAATAATTTAATTTTAATTTAAATTTTCATAAATGAATAATTTATTTAAATTAAAAAAATGACATGGCACAAAATTGTTTAACGATGCAATCGTAATAATTTTTATTATTTAAACATGTGTTATAAATTATTTAAATAATTATTTTGACAATTTGTTTATATTTTGTATTTCCCACCATGTAAAACCTGTTTTTCAATCACGTGTAATGCTTTAAATCTTACGATTGAAATCACAATTAATTACAGTTCAATATCATCTTATGAATTAGGCAAAATCACTAATTAATATTATGGCTAATTAAACACTTACTTTTTGCTTGCGTTCCGTTCATGCTTTTTAAAATTTTCTAACCCGGTTTAACTTTAAAGACGGCACAGCATGTCTTTATGGTCGAAACTAATGTGTTCTATCACAAAAAACTGTTTAATTTTTACAGGTAAATTCGGTAAGCACACACGTGGGAATTCGTCCCTCCTTGTCTAACACACAATAAAAGAGCGACGGATCGTATTATAGGCGGATTGGCCCTGCCTTAACCTAAGCGTTTCAAATATTAGAAGCGTGCTTACGAATTCTCATTGGTCATGTTTAATTGCTATTATACTGTGCAAAATTTAATTTGATAGATTTTACATTTTTTATCGCATTTTGTATGCAATAAATCAAGGACTAGCACTTTTTCTACCAAGATAAGAAGTATTTTATTTTGATGAAATCTAAACGCAAAAATTGCTTACCAAACGTAAATTTATCTAATAAAAGCACGTAGATTAATTTAAATAAAAATATATTGCCAATACACCAACTATTGAACAATTTTAATTGTGTATGTATGTAGGTATATTTTCCCTGTATAATTTTGACATGCCATGCCAGTGTTTATTTGTATGACTGTGTACTTTCCAAAAAACCTATATAAATGTTGTGTGGTGCGGTGTTTGTTGTAATAAAAATAAAAAAATAATACAATATTAATTTTATTTTGGACAGAAAATATAAATCACATTGAGGTATACTTAATAATACTATAGTGGGAGAATATACAAAAAAGAATACTTGTATTAATAAAATAAATAAAATTTCGTGTAGTATATGTAGGTACCTACATGAATATCTTATGAAATCCAAAACTAAAATATATCCGAGTAAAAATAACAGACATGCACATAACACAGACATACAGAATTTAATAAATAACACATATATACTTCATATCACATCCACGACGTCTAGGGTTGCCACCTGTCCTTTCTCCGGAAGGTCAAACTTCTTCTGTTCTTCTTCCCTAAAAATTGTCCTTAACATTGACAATTCTTGAGATTTCAAAGTCTGCGTCTTTATTTAAGTGTTAATTAAGTTCAAACAAAAATATACAAATAAACAATACCTACAAAATAAAACACAAAGTGCTTAAAGAACTTTTCGCCAACGATGTTGGCATCTTCAGAAGCGAAGTATGTTTTGTTTTGGTGTTGGGGAATATTTTTAATATTTGTTTAAAATATCAACCTTTTCAAGTAAATACATTATTTATTGAAAGGCTCATAATGAACATTTTTCGGCAACCCTAACGACGTCTCTACATTTAACAACTACTAAATAAAGACTTAAACGTTTAATAAAATTGTACATACTAAGGGCAGATTCTAAAAATAACCAATACATACCTTATTAAAAAATAATATCACAAGGTATTAAAAACATTCATATTGATTCTTTATTTTTCGACTCACTGTAGGTTTTTGAATAGCTGCTAAAATCTAATCTCAATACTGTCAAAAGTAGAAAAAAAACATTAATACTGTTAATACTAATACGTTGATGGAACGAAAAATAAAGAACCATTTCCTTTAGTACTTTTTTTGGAGCATGCCCTCAAAACAGTCGTTTTTTGTCTTAATATCTAAAATCAGGAACTAAGGAATACAAAACTATATACAGTTTCAATTGTACCATTTAGTCTCTATCAGACTGTACCACCGATATATCCGACTCGTTGTTGGCCCGATCGTGGTTGGTGGAACGCGGATAGTGCAGCAACGGCGCGTGAGAGGGCACCATCTCCCCATTCTCACTTATAATAACCATAAATTCCTCCGGCACCAGGTCGTCGCTGCTTCTCTTAGCCGAATCTCCCGTACCACTATCCTTACAAGACGAATGCTCAGACAAATTATCGGGACAATGTCTCAACTGCAAAGTAGGCTGGGTTAAGTTGTCTCTATAGTCCGCCATCTCGTTCAATTCCACCGGATGTGGTGGCATGGCAGGGCGCTTGCGTGTTTGGTAGATTATAACAACCCACACTATAGAGGTCAGCACCGCGCAGCACACTACGGTTATTATGATTATACCCATAATGTTGTTGTACGTCTCACCTGTAACAATATTATCTTTATTAGAAGGTCGTTAATACGTAATTACCAAGGTTGCAATCAGTCCATCATTATCAATCATAACAAAATGATTCTAGGCAACATTGCATCTTCATGTTCAGAAATTTCAGAATAATATATATATGCACTTCAATACGCAAAACCGCCTCCGACCAACTCTGACAAATCAAACCATGGCATGGTCTTAAGTCTTAACTAATACACTTCCACCAAAACAAGATTGACCCTAATATAAAAACAAAGGTGTACAATAACATAATCTAATGTAAAATACTTGGGAATCACACTAGACAATAAAGTTAACTTTCATCTTCACTCTTCCCTGTCAAATAAGAAAATAACAACAAGAGCCATCAACCCACAAGGCATCAATGATGAAACAAAAAAAAGAATATACACCTTATTATGCAGACCATCCTGGAATATGTATCTTACTTAATAATGCTCGTAAACCAGCACTAAGCAATATTGAAACTGGGGAAACCTCATCACTCCGAAAAATCTCCAAAATGAGACATCCAAACAACTCTGCACAACCCTTCCAACTACCTCTTGTATGCTACTTAAAATATCTTACCAATTATGGAAAGATTCACCCAACTATCAACAAACTTTATAAGCAAGGAAGCTAACTACGACAATCTTAGCGAATTATGTTCAATATCTTCAACAAATAAGAGGTAACATATTAATTAATTAATTTCAACTTTATAATTGTTTTTTTACATATATTCAAGATATGCCCAAAGGCTGAAGGACCTTGGTCCTTCTATATATATATTATATTTACCTGGTTTAACTACAAGCCTGCTATGTTCGGAAACCTCCCCCAGGCTATTGGCCAAATGACATTGATAAATGCCAGAGTCAGAAACTGTAGTGTCAACTATAATCATCAATTGGTCTTCCGCCGTAAAAAAGTGTCGTTCCGTCGCCCTTATAGCTGCACCATCTTTTAACCAGGATATGTTCGGTTTTGGTCTACCACTGGCCATGCATTGTAGTGCTACTATATTTCCAGCTATCACCTCCTTATCCTCCATAGATTTAACAAACGATGGTTTATCATTGATTATTAGGGAAGCATTGGCAACGTTTGTACCGGCGGCATTGTGCGCGGTACAACTGTATACCCCCATGTCGCTTTCCTTGGCGTTTAGAATGAAGAATACGTCGTCATTGGTCATGTACTCCATGCGACGTTCTCTAGCAGCCGGGAAGTCGTTGCCGCCGTCTTTTTTCCAGCCGATTTCCGGTTGCGGTTCACCATTGGCAGCGCATTCGAGTCTAGCCGTCTCGCCGGCCGTGACCGTTATGTTCTGAGGACGTTTTATAAACTTTGGAAACACCAAGACGGACATCGTCGATTTGTTCGAGTAGGTGGTGCCGAATTTGTTCGACACCACGCATTGATATTTACCGGCATTGGAATTATTGACCCAACGCAGATTCAATTGCGAGTTGCCGATCATAGTTTTATTATCCACTACGGTGGAGTTGTGGGTTATATCAGCGTTTATTATTTCCATGTTGTCTTTCTTCCATTGGAACGTCATAATACTGTTGGAGCTGGACATAGCCTCACAGTTGAGGCTAACGTTTTCACCTTTTAAAGCCATTATTTCAACATCAGGTTCTTTGGTTAGTCTGGGTTTGGGAAGCTCATCTACAAACAAAACATTATACTTTGGAATTATTATTATTATTAAATTATAATATTATTACTGCAAGTCAAAATGCTGGAAGATACGTTAAACAACGAAAAACCTTGAAGCTTTTCCGGAAAAGCGCACTGAGCGTTAAAATTCCACCCCTTAGCGCTAACCCAGTCTTGCAACCACCTTATGTTGCAATCGCAAATCAAACTTGTAGTATTAATGAGCAGCTCTTTAAGTAAAGGCACTTCATTAAATGCGTCCTTTTGTATGGATGTGATGTTATTATTAGACAAATTCAAGTATGTCACATTCTTGAGACCAACAAAAGCGTTCTTGTTAATCGATTTAATATCATTTCCGGCCAAATTAAATTTGGTCAAATCGTTAAGGCCTATAAAAACGGCCTGGCCATCTTCAATTGTCCACCATATTTTGTTGTTATGTAAATGTCTGTAATATAAGTTATCAGTTTTGTCTGTATATGTAAATATACTTTGAATTTTACTTACAATATTTTGAGTTTTTTTAGATCCTGAAATGCGTTCTCCTTTATATACCTAATGTTATTGTTATTTAGTACTAGTTTCTGTAAATCGTTTAGATGTTTAAATGTGTCTACTTCCAAGGTTTCAAGTCTATTATATGAGAGATCCCTGCAGAATTCCAAAAGTTAATAACTTTCTTAAGATGGGTTAATTTATTGTACTTACAAAAATGTGATGTGTTTACAAAACTCCCAGCTTTCATTATCAATAGCGGAAATATTGTTATGGCTTACAGTAAGCTCTTTTAAATCAGTCAACCCATACAGCCATCCTTTAGATATAACGCGTATGTTATTATAGTCCAACAATCTAAAATTTACCATTAAAATCTGATTGTCCTTATGTTTGTTTGTTCAAGTAGTTCCCGGACTAGTCGCATGCGCAATAACAACACTATGTTTCTTATTGGGGTTATTGCGCGTGCAGATAGTCCGAGAATAGTCAAACAAACCAAATATTATCATTTCTTACAGTTTTTCTATTTTGTGTGGGCCATAGAAAGCCCCATCAGATAACTCTAGTATTTGGTTTCTCTTTAGTTTAAGCGCCTTTAAGTGCACCAAATGTTGAAAACTGAGAGCCTCAATGACCTTAAGCCTGTTTCGGTTTAGTTCTCTAAAAAAATCGACGAAATTATGATAATTGTAATATGAGCTGCATTCTAATCTAAAATATGCATGTGTTGCATACATTTTTTCAGAGTGATTTTTATCAATGTTATAAAAAAGATATGAGCGTTCTACGTCGTACTATTGGGTTTTTACAATAATTTATATTTCCTTTGTTTCATTTTATCTAAGAATCAATAGGAATGTTTATATTATTTATAGTCAGGATATGACACATTAGTCGATAATGAAATGTTAGTTTTTAGCACCCTAAACCTCTCTAGAAAAATGATTTTTTGCAAAATAATATAAATAAACCTATTATTAGGTAGGTACATAACTACAAAAAGTAAATAGGTATTAACAATTTATTTGATTGGCATTATTTTGCAACTAATTAAATTGATGTTCACTTACAAGATCTTGAGATGCTCTTGATTTTTAAGAAAATCTTTGGGTATAGTCTTAATGTTATTTTTATTTAACTTGAGTTCAGTTAGGCTGGGCAAATTTTTCGAATCGTTTTTGCCAATATTTTGTATGGAATTGTTATGTAAGTCTCTGAAATTAAAAAAATGTTGAGATCAAGCAGCTCAAAATCGAATTTTGAGTTACAGGTGCACACATAACAAAACTATGTAGGTACTTACAGGTGAGTTGCCCATTTTGGCACTGACGGCAAGATGCGATCCAAATTCCTGGAGCTGCAGTCGACGAATTTACCAAGACACTGGCAAATTTCCGGACAATCCTTCGGTTTGGCCAACAACGAACCCGCAACCATCAAAATAACAAATAAACATCGAAAATAAACACCCACCATTTTGGAAATCACTGTCATTCATAACAATTTCGGCCTTAACACGGGCAAATAGCCATTGTTCGCACGCATTTTCAACGGTTTTTCGTTGTTTAGACCATACGGCACTAGCACTGTGTTAATGTTTTTATTAATTATAGGTAAAACATTCAAAAAACGCTATTCTTTCATCATACTGCACACAACATACACAGATAACCGAGGCCATTAGTATTTTGATGATCTGTGTGAACTACACTAGCGTCATCTACAAACTAACTAAAAAAAAGCAGGCACCTATCGGAAATCGCAGTGCTGACTCCGGGTTAACAGAGGGCGTACCAAACAGGTTTTAACACATACTTGGAAGTATGTGGGTTTTAACATATACTTACCACACAAGGTTTTAACACATACTTGGAAGTATGTGGTTTTTAAGAAAAAATTAAATCGTTATTCTATTAACAACATGTAGAGATGCTGCTCATTCCCAAAAAATAGAAATGTTTGGAGAAAAAATTTAAAACAACCGAAGTTGAATGTTTAAATTTATTGGCGCATTTAACTGTGCATTAGAAAAAACAATTAATTACCTATGTATAAACAACAATACTTTTATTACCACAATTATTTTTTTATATTTAATTACAATACGCGATAACAGCTTAGTTAATTATTGTTAACTTATTTGTTTTAATGAGGCACTTACACTTAATATTCTGTTTATTTAGCACTATTTAATTGTGGCATTGAAAAATATCAAATTGGCAATTTGTGTGAGGTACCTACACTGATAAAAATGGTATCCTTGTGGCAAAAGAATCCATTCATTTGAAAAATATTGATTTAATTCAAAGAAACTGTATTTATTTTAAATCCGTTTCCCTTCGGATAAGATAATTGCTGCATTTAGGTGTAATTCTCGATTCTTTTGACATTTAATTACTTTAAGGCAAAGTAAAGGCATTTAGACAAAAGAAATCTTCAATTCATGTCTTTCTGTCAAAATTTAATGTTATTGCTAGAAATCCCACGGTTTTGTGCCAAACTACACTGATAAACATGGATTATTTTAGGCAAAAGAATCCATTCATTTGAAAATTATTCTTTTAGTTTAAAGAAAGTTAACTTTTTGCAAATTCCTTGGCATTTGACTAAAATAGGTGATGCATTTAAGGCAAACTCTTGATTCTTTTGGCTAAATCCTTTTTAATAACTTTATTTCAAGAACAAAGCATTTGTCGGAAATCACTCGGTAATTTGATAGTTCTTGCAACAATGAGTGTCCTTCAGTATCAGTCCACGCGTCGCGTCCACAGTACTTCGTCAAAGGTGTTCATCTCGCGCGAATAAATAACTAGTGTGATACTTTTTCTATGGCTATAAATCAAGATTATTTGTACCATAGTGTTATAGATCGAGATTATGGGTACCATTAAGGAACTGCTTAAACTTTGGGATTATTCATTTATTTCCAAAATTTGGAGGTTTAATTTTATAGGTAATGTATTCTTTTTTTTTAATTTTAATCGATTAGGAATGTAATAAAGAAAAATACCTAATTAATAAGCTAAAATCGACTAAAATATAATTATTTCATGCAAATATTATCATTCTGTAAAACGCTTTCTTAGAACAGGAAAATAAAAATGGCTACCTATACCTTCTCCCAAAGATTAAAATTTTGTAAGAAAATAATGCGGTATTTGTCAATATGTTTTAAGACTTTAACACAAAAGCATCATAATATTAAATAAATCCCCGTGCATTTGAGCCAAAACCTACATGTCAGCAAGTCATGTCCTCCATAGATAAAACACACATATATGTAGGTTTTGGCTCAAATGCACTGGGATTAATTCAATATTAGAATGGTTTTGTGTTAAAGTCTTAAAACATATTGACAAATAAGTACTTACGGCATTATTTTCCAAAAAAATTAATCTTTGGGAGGAGAATATATCCTTCTTATTTCTTGACAGATATCCAGAGGCGGATTTCTAAAAAGGCCAGCTAGACCATAGCCCTAGGTGGAAATTTCTTTGAGTTTAAGAATAATCAGTTTTTTGTATTTTGTATAAACAATGTATTTTATGTTTATGAGTGAAAGAATAATCAGTTTTTTGTATTTTGTATAAACAATGTATTTTATGCTTATGACTGTATAAACAATGTCTTTTATATTTTTAATAAAAATATGTTTTTAGTAAAAATTATTGTAGTTTTTTTTAATTTAGGCAGGCAATTTTCTAAAAACAAAGAGTTTCAGCTAAAGACATTCGGGCTTTGGTTCAAATGCCCATAGATTAAGAGCAAGAAATCCGAGTTTTGATACAAATAACAATAGTTTTTTAATCAAACGCTTATGGATTTGAAATAAAAACTTGGATTTTGTTACAAAAAATTAAATTACTTAACTTAAATGCCAATAGATTTAAATCCAGACATCCGACTTTTGCTACAAATTCCTAATTCTTTAAGAACAAGAACCTAAGATTTTGTAGTAAGCCCGCTTTTCTTTATTTCAATTTACTTAAGCCTTTGATCCAAATCAGTACCGGGTTATTAATAAAAGCACGGCATTTAAGGACCTATAACGAAGATCTTCTTCTAAATTCATGTTTCTTTGCAACAAAGACAAATCATGAAATGATCTCAAAGAAATGACGTATTTGCTTTAAACCCTTCATTCATTTGGACCTATCCAAAGTCCCCATTCCTTTGAGTGAATGGCAGATTTCCTTGGGGCAAAGGTTTCTTTTTTTCAGTGTATGTACATACAATTTAATTTCAATTATCCAACCCTATAAACTTTTACGTATTCATATGACCTAAGCGAGAACTTTTCTGCAACTGCTACGGTTTCATTAAATAAATACGGAAAATTAATTATTAAAGTGTTGACAAAACACGATTTTTTTAAATAAAAGATCTGGCGAAATTCATGTTTTGTTTGTGTAAGTAGTTGCTGCAAGAAATTGCGTATATTTTTATTCTAGAATGATGGGTGGAATTTCTACGAAACCAAGGTTGGATGGGTAGATATTCAAATGTAACAAAATTATTTTAATTCAATGTTAAATATACTAGTCCCCGCCCGCGTGAACATGCTGCAACACTGCTTTTTATTTGTTTATATTTATGTGTGCAAAGGGCATCTAGGCTATAGACACGTTTATAACAGACTTTTTTACTACATTAGTGTTTGTAATTAAAAAAATAAATCATTTAATTATAGTTAATTTATTATTTATGTTTAACAGGAAAGTAGGTTTAATTTTTTTTCCAGGAAACCTGATAAATATTGATTAATAAATAATTGAGTGAGGTGTGCGTCTTCAATCATCTTCAATCAATTTGTTTTTGATTGTGTTTAGCCACAGCAAATACATTTTGCTAATGAAGATGTTCAACTCGCAAAATAATTTTTATATCTTAAAATATTCGATGTCATTCACATTAAAATTATTTATCAATGAGTTTAAGCTTGTTTTCGTGCTATTATTTCCAAATACTAGAAATCTCTTGCAACAAAACGGGTTGGCACACATTATTATTATCATTCAAATAATGAGGTGATTTTTTTTTTAATCCAATAATAAATAATCATTGCCAGTACAATTTGGTCATCTCAAAGATGTTCGTGACGTCATTTGGACATTCCGCATTCTAAAAGGACAGCGTGTTTAACGAAAAAATCTCTTATGCGGGCGCGAACTCGCTCTTGGCGAAGGTCAAGCAAAGTTGACTGCATAAAAATCTATTAATTTTGTATGTATTCCATAATTTGACCATAAATTAAAAAAAATCGCCCATTATGCCAATACTTCCCTGATTTTGCAATATAATTAACCTTCGTCCAATCTTATCCGCACCAGGAAAAAATTTATAATTTTAATCACCATATTTGATTACATAATATTTATTGTTTAATTAAAACGGTTAATTGGAAGATAAAAATTTGACCTCACTGGACATTTTTTCCTCAATCGCGAAAAATGCAAATCGACAAAACCTCCAAAAATCCCGTTTAAAAATGCACCAATTTTTGTTTCCTAATATTTTAAACAAGCTCGTGAGCGCAAGGCCTTGTCAAGTGCGAGGCCCTGGGCACTTGTTTAGCCTTTAAGCTTAGCCGCTAAACCAAATCTTTGTATATGTAGGTATGACAATTCGAAAATAAACTAAAACGGTACTTCGTACTAAAGTTATATAGGTACATTCAAAGCAATAACTTTTCCAGCATCAGTTTTATAATTATACATTTATACATTAGGGTGATTTATGGCTAAATAAAAACATAAAAATATATCGAAGACCTTTAAAAACAAAATTGTTATTTGAGGCGGTTAATTAGCAAGCAATGGTAAAAAAGGCTAATTTTAATTGGTTTGAAGGGAAATTTTCGCGTCCGTATTGTTTATGTTTCGGCTTCCAATAAAAATTTGTAAATATAATAAAACAATTAAACCGAAAAGTTCGAGGACACCGGCCGCAAATATTTATATTCAATACCCAATGTACATTCCTACGGTCAAAAAAATGTTTCTAAACAATTTCGGTTGCAACAGCGCTATCACGAAAACAATTGCATACAAATTAAAACAAAATTATGATTAAGAGTGGAGTACAAGTATTAGAAATGTTCCCCAACACCAAAACAAAACACAAAGTACTAGTTTTCCTTTTTCAAGTAAGAGTAGAGTGTCAAATTAAAAATGCTAGGTGTTGTATTTGGTATCACACTATATTAAAGATAATTTATAAATGATATTTAATGGGGTAGTTTGTATGTTCCATTCAGTGTTGAATTTGTTTGATTATTGTTTAAATTGGATAAGCGTTCCCTTGATATATTACGCTTAAAGCAACTTGTTTGCGGATGGAATTTTATTGAAATAAATAGAAAGACGGTAAACATTATAAATAATATATTTATTTATAGATAATTACAATTCTCTCACTAAAATAAATAGAATAATTACAAAGAAAAAATAATAAATGAGCAAAAAATAATAGCCTAGAACAGTATCACTTTGCAAAACTTAAGCATTCTCTCATCCACACACAACATCCACTCGCAACAGTCATTAATTTAACATTTTAAAGATTCAACGGAAGGTATATAAAAGTAATTTGATCACAATATTATACAGGTCCATCTATGTCGTGCTGATAACGACAGGTCAGGTATTGAGCGGCCTCCGTCATTTGCTTAAGCGATCTTGTGAGACCGTCCAAATGCCTGCGAAAGTCAGTTGCCACCTTCTGCGTCTGACCATCGGGGAAATCTCGACTCGCCTCCTCGATCCCCGAATCGTTCTCGTTGCTGCTGCCAGCTTCGCTCTCCGTGTCCGATATCGTCGAAGCTGACGAGTTGGTCGAAGCTACCGACACCGTCGAAGGACGACGCACGTGACCTTTGGCCGCAGCTGGCGCAGCTGCGACGGCCTCTTGTCCGCCCCACAACAAACCATCTTTCACGCTGTTTAGCATGTTGTAAATCTGGAACAAATCGGTCGCGTTCAGCAAATCCTGAACTGTTTCCTTTTTTCCCAGATTTTTTTTCTGCGTTTCGGCGCTGGACGGGTCGTTCTCGTCGCCCACTTTCAAGTCCATCAACCTGCAAGGCACCAAAATCGTCTCGTCCATGGTGTTTACCGTTTTAACGAACTTCTCCATCACGTTCAATATGCTTTGATGAGAAAATTCCTTATCATCGTTACGAGCTATGCGCCGCAAGCAATTTCTGCAACAAAGAAATAACATTTTTAATAAACAAATATTAGAAATATTCCCCCAAGTGCTTAAAGTACTTTTCGCCAACGATTTTGGCATCTTTAGAAGCGAAGTGTAACTAGTTACACTTCGCTTCTGTCCAACCCAACATCGTTGGCGAAAAGAACTTTAAGCAGTTTGTGATTTGTTTTGGTGATGGGGAACATTTCTAATACTTGTTTAACATATCACCAAAGTTGATCAACATTGTTAATATTTAGCGGAAGGAAAAACATCTTTTATTTGGCACGGATAGCAAGTGAAGCGTACCCTGATGAAAGTGAAACGTTTCTTCAATTATTGAAATTTTCAAAACCAAAAAATAAAATTGCCTGTCAATGCATTAAATAATGGAATCCAATTAACCTTTGTTCAAATGTTATCAATGACCTAAGCATTAAAACAATGACCATTTTAGTCAAACAAAATTTGGCCATGTACCAACAACCAAAATACAAAATATCTCCCCATTTAGCACACAGGGTGTTATCGCAAAGAAAAAAATTAGTGAGGTCACTTCTATTAAATAAAAAATTGTAAACTTGACATCTTTAAGAATGGGATAAGGTCAATGAAAGATTTCGGAAAAATAAAAAATTAAATCATCATTCAATTAACGTTTTCAACAATCATTGTCATTGTAATCAATTAGTTTAAATGTTTAAATGTAAAATAAATTATGAATTAAAAAAGCTGCATTGTAATGTAGAGGAAGCAAGTTGCAAATAATATTAAACAGTTAATATATGTTAGTCAGTTTTTCATAACCTTGGCGTAAATTCTTATTTCAGTAAGTAGGGTACCATACATATGGTATTGTAAATATTAATTAGAATAGTTTGCGCATACTTTAATTATTACTGCACAATATCTCAAAAACGCAAAATAATTAGTAAGATCTAAATATTTTATCTTATCGACTTAAGGATAACAATAATTTTGAGCCAGTGTCCTTGGTGGTGAAAAAGGATTATGTCTGAGAAAACTGTTATTAATAGTAATGTAATGTTGTTGATTCATGGTGCAATAAAATCAAAATAAAACATTTGTGTGGACGTGTCATCTTATTTGAGGTGAAAATTGATAATAATGAGGTTATCTACCTATAGCACTTTACTCTCACATGGTATTGTGTAGAAATGTTGGTCAAATTTAAGAGAAATTGTGAAGCTAGTACCATTCGTTAAAAATTTCGTTGCTTTCATCGTTCAAAGATGCTCAAAGCGGAAAAAGTAACCGTGACCTTGAAACACAGACATGCCCTTAAGCCCCTTTTGAGGTTTGGATTTAAAAATGAAATTTTGTTTAATTGCCTTTGATGTGGGTATTAAAGTTGGGGTTATGCTGTTAAGGAATGCCTAGCCGAATGCGATTAACCCAATAAATAAAAGAGGTTATGTTATGCTAAATTGCTTAGGTAGTTCTATGTGGATTAACTGTTTTTGTTTATAATCTGTGACATACTTAAAATTGCATAATAGAGAACAAGTGAATAAAGTAAAGGTAGCTTTCACCTAACAAATTGATTTTAATAAAACAACCGTGAAAAATAATGGATGTGTTGGAATGACTAACTAACCTGCTATTTTCCAGTGAGTTGGTTATGTTTTCTGGATAGGTGTTCATCTTGTTAATCTGGCCGTTTTCCCCAATCAGAAGCATTCGAAATGATTTTAATTTGAATGAAAATGTACGAAATATATTTCTACAATCACACTTCACCCACACCACAACAAACGTCAAACTGAAATCGGCTGATCGTGACGATCTTGCTTCGCTTGAAAATTCGGAAATTAACGAACTACTTGCGATTGCCTAAATGCTCACGAACGAATGCCTAGCTAACAACTACAAACTCAGACTTGACATTTATTGTAAAATACACTTTTATATTTTATAGGATGGTTTTGCCTGGTCTGACGTTACCTGACCAATAGAAAAGTGGGGTTGGCTACGCACAGGACCGGACTCCACTAACCCATGTTTGTTCACCATTTTCAAAATTTTATCACATTTCTTCCAACCATTTCTCATCAAATCCACTAAAAAGTATTAATCATAGATTAACAATTTTATTTTATCTGATTAAAATTATACCAAGGTTAACTTAAAGTAAACATATTTCAAAAATTATCTAAAATACCTACATTATGAACAATATTCATCTTTAATTAAATCATTTTTGGGAATTTATTGTTGTTATTGTGAATATAATATTTACCTTATAATTCAATATTTATTAATGTTATGTTTTTGTGTTTTAAATTGTTGCACATTTATTTTGACAAAACATCTAAATTTTTTTTAATCATAAATTTTTATTTTTATGCAAAAACAAAAAAGTCTTACGTGGTATCTTAAACCGTCTTTAACTTATGTATGTTTAACGCACAAAAAAGTCCAAAACTTAAAACGGTCTAAATATGTTCTCAAACTAGAAAAAACTATCTAAAATGACCCAAAACTGTCTAAAATTTTTCTAAAATTGTTGTTAAATAAGTTAAACAAATTTATAACAATAAATTAAAATACTTATTTTGTTACGGTCCTGTTTTAAACTTTGGACGTCAAGTAGCTTGGGTTAAAAATTTAAATCCAACCAGCTTCTGGTGCGGGAAATATGTCAAAACAAAACTCAATGAAATCCGTGTACGAAAATAATTAAAATCAAAACAGATAATTTTGCATTTCGTCAAAATAATCATATTAAATAAGGAAAAACAAAGGCCATATAATAAAGCGTTTCTGTTGGTGCAAGGAATGAAGCCACTCTGCAAATTGGCCAATTTAGTTAACTTTGAACTTTTTCGATGTTATTTTATTAAATATTTTGTTTGGCAATATAAATAAAACAATTAACTTAGGGAAATTTTTGTATTGATTGATTTTTTTCAGTGAAGTAAAAAATATAGTATTTTTTTATTGTTAATTTAACGTAATTTTTACGAAAGAAAATTACTTTATTTTAAGGGATCTTTATCGGTAAATTTAACGTATTTCTAAAATTTTCGTGAAATAATTTATTAAAAACTTGTACCTACTTTGAAGTTACCCTGTAAATAAAACACATTTTAGTTGCCAGGTGGTTAAATGATAAGTTATCTTAATTGAAAAAAAATTGGTAAACTTTTAATTTTTTATTGTGGTAAAATAAAATAAAATATATTTTATTTGTTTTAAAATTAGGTAGATAAATAAAAATTAATTGTCATTTAAATTGGAAACAAGCCTATTATTAATAAATGGTCATTATATTAGAAATATATACTTTGTCATGGCAAATAAAAAATACTATTAAAACGGTTTTAATAAAACCTAAGAATTGTAGATGAAAGTTTTATTAATATAATGTAGGAAATCCTGTAGATACTTCCTCCTTGGATGAAATAAGTAATTTTCGTGGGAATTTTATTGTTACCAATTGTAGGTAGGTATTTTGAAAAAGTACAATAATTGCTTTTAATGCAGTTTTTTGCGTAATGTAAAATTAGGAATCACACAAAAAATATTCCATTAAGTAATATGGTGGTAGAAAAACATTTAGGTGTCATTTTTATATTCAAATGTATGCATTTTGTCTACGCACATCAACTTTGTTTATTTTCCATTATTAAATAATAATTATGTATGTGCATAATTTTTTAAATTTTGTACTATTGTTATTATATCAACACCAATTGTTTGTCTAAGTAACCGCAATTTACTTAAAAATTTGATTAGGTATACTAAAAAATCAAAGTACAAACATTTGTGGTTTTTCTTAAATAACTATTCCCTAATTGCCTATTTTATTAATTAAGCATTAAATTAGTTATCAACAACTTAAAAAAAGTATTGTATGAATATTTAGTATATTGACGTATACTAAACAAAGGTTATTATTTAAGTAAAAAAAATGTATGTTTAAGGTAATTTGCAGGTTAATTTTATATTATTTACATTTTATATTGCGACTTAAATAGGTATTCGAACTTGTAATAAGTTAAGTAACCCAATTAAACATGTACATGCCTTTAAAAATGTACAAAAATGTCCCTACTAAACGAAATTTTATTAACGAATTTTTTAAGTGGCACTTTATTATAATTATACCAATTATATACATATACATACATATGTAGTTATTTTGCGATACAATGTTAAAAAAGCCATTAAGTTTTTGCCCATTTCTGGCAAAATCTTGGTAAAATAAAAAGGCACTTTGTGGCCTTCGTATACCATTATAAATTATTGTCCAGGAAGAAAAACATTATACAATTTTAATTTTTAATTAGATTAATGTATGGAAATATATATGTCTTATGTAGTTTTAAAGAAGAACATGTTGTACATACATATACATATTACATATGTATGTAAAGATATTTTTGCACCTTCTTCATCTATTTACGTATTACATAATAATCTACCAAATTTTCCAAATTACGTTTTAGATAAAATTAATTTTTTTATTGTAAAAAAAATGTTTTATAGGAATATTTTTTCTCCTCTACATTCGTGTTTTTTCCAAAATTACCGGAAAAATTCATTGAAATGTCAAGTGTTTAAAATTCCAATTTTCGATATTATCGTCAAATTTAATTTGTATTGGACTATTGGACTTACCGGAATATCTAAGGTTGTATTAATTGTTATTTAATTAAATTATTGAAAAAATCATTAAAAAGTCATTCTCAAGACAAACAATTAAATAAATTATTCCTATATCGCGTAAGAGAAAAGAAAACGATACATATTTAATTTTATTAGTAAAATTGGCGTGTTGATATTAAATCGAATGCAAATTAATAAAAACTTTTTTATCCTAAATTAACTACTTTTAGAAGTGATCAAGCATTTAATTAGGAGCATAGGTTAAACGATAAATGCCATACAAATTGGTGAATTTAATGAAATGATTATTTTTAGCAATAAAATTTATTTGTTTGAAAATAATTTAGATAACGCATCGAGGAATAAATTGGTGTTTTTTTTAATCAATTTATTAAACCGCTAGTGAAAAAAACTTTAAATATAGGTACTAACACTAAAAAAAATTATCAAATTATTGTTTTTTATTTGTAATGCTTAAATTATTATTATTATTGAAAAAGATCATTTTTTGTCATTGACAAAATATTCATTAGGAGAATGACGTAAAGAAATAATAAATTTATAATCATTCTGTAACAAAACAACTTTAACTTTAATAATAATATGTACAAACAATAAATTTCCTAAGTATACTATAGGTATGTAGCTGCTTAAAACTTTTTTTAACATGGCATGTTTAAAACTCTAAATTATGGGCATTTTTGTAAATAAATATAATGTAACAACTAATGTTGTTATGGTACGATATTTTTTCTTGCTGGCAGCATACTTTAACTTAAAATTTGGCATACCTACATTGTTGGATGTTGGTCCATGCAACTTTCTATGGATATATTCAATATTTAATGTTCAACTAATGCAGATTTAAATTTATTACTTCTGATATGGGAATTAATTGTGGAAAAAGTTCAAACTGGTCTATTGATAAAGTGATTATTTTGTCTTGTCTTAAGAGGGTCATAAGGGTTATTTGTCTAGTCTTTTTTAATCACATTATGGGATTGTGTCGATCACGTGTGACAAATGTTTACAAATTTGTACCTTGCACCAGTAATTTTAAAATCAGAACGGATGTCACTAATATTGATTCCCCAATAATTATCATCATAAACAATGGATTTAATTATTTTTATTAACATAATTTATTTGATTTTTTGCCCTTTTACTTATTGTTCAAAGGCTCCATTTGCGTATGTACTTGTTTTCAGGTAATTTATGGAAAATTGAAGGAATCTTAGGAATTTAAAATATAATTTTAATTGCAAGCCTTGCTTATCATTGGCCATTGACTTTATTTACATATAAATATACAGAGCGATCAACAGTATTGACCTACTTAATTCAACATTTCGATGATATTTGGCCCCCCTTTATTAATGCGCACTTTCCTATAGGTATGTTTTACTTATTTTTTCTTATTGCAAACATAAAAAATTGTCAAGTAATTATTGTAATCGTGTGGGAAAATAAATAAAGTACATTCACTTAGCAGTTGTTGTTTTAATTAAAAATGAGAATGTATTAAAAAATTAATATTTAAATCGACTTTAAACGACTTATTTCTAAAAACCAAATAGTTAATTCAATTTTAATTCGATTATACATACCTACGTCAGACACGTATTTTTTTTAAATCTTTCTCCCATTAAAATAATAATTGGAATCCTTATTCCTGACCTTATCAGAAACATTATTTTTTGCCGAATATGACAATATTTATATACATACGAGGTGTGTTCAGAAAATAACGGGAATTGTTAAATTTCGCGGGTTCATAGGGTCCGGTTGTCATAAAATTTTCTTTATTATGTTGGTATACATGCCCCCGAAGTATGATAAAAACTAGCTGTTTTCATTGTTTACTTTGTCTGTGGCAGCCGCTAAGGTTAGACGTGTTTTATGAGCTCGGCGATTTTTCGTTCGTTAAAAGAAATGAATCAAAGAATTTGTATCCAATTTTGCTTAAAAAATGAAATAAATTCTGTGAAATGTTAACAAAGGCCTATAGTGAGTCTGCTATAAGTAAAACTAGAGTTTACAAGTGGTATAAGAGTTTACAAGATGGCCGTGAAGACGTTGAAGATGACGAACGCCCCGAAGGCACAAGCACATTAACAACCGATCAAAACATGGAAAAAGTGGAAGACATGGTTACCATCAGAGAAGTCGCGATGATGTTGGTATATCGATTGGCTCATCCCATGAAATTTTTCGAATGTTTTGGGTATGAAACGCGTGGCGGAAAAATTTGTTCTAAAATTGTTAAATTTTGAACAAAATTTTTGGCCAATACTGTACAATACTGTAATGATGCCCCAGCCTCCATATTCGCCAGACATGCCTCTGTCTGACTTTTCCTATTCCGAAAAATAAAGAGAACGTTTTGCAAGCATAGATGACATTAAAAGCGCATCGCTAAAAGAACTAAAGGCTATCCCCAGGGTGGCTATCCCCACAATCCACACATTGTGGCTATACCAAAGATCGAGTTTTAGAAGTGTTTCGAGTATTGGAAGAAGAGCTGGCACATGTGCATAATATCCAATGGGGACTATATTGAAGGCGACAACATTAATGTAGACGAATAAATAAATAATTGTTTCAAAAAACGAAAATTCCCGATATTTTCTTAACACACCTCGTATAATGAATGTAATTATGATTAGTCGTAATTGAGTAAAACAAACAACAATCATCAGCAAATAAATTGCTTAGGGACTATTTTATCATGCCAAAAAATTGTAGATAACTATAAATAATTGGAACAAAAATATGTAAGTATACCAGGGCTCCCAGCAGGTAGTTTTTTTAAAGACTTGTCTATATTTTTGTCTTAAGTCTATAAAAGTCTATTTTTTTACCTAAAGTCTATAAAGTCTATATTTTCTGTTAAAATCAACTATTAAAAAATATTTTTTTAAATATAAATATTCACAGTTTTATAAATATCGAAACCACAGTAAACCAAGTGAAACATTCGAAAACTTCGCAGTTTACATTTAAAGTTCCCGCCGTCCAGACCCGAACCGCCCGCCAAAATTATTGCTGAATTGTTTCTGGTTTGGTCTAGGGTTTCGTTTACGTTTATAGTTTCGGTTCGCTAGGTTAACACTACCTATACAGGGTGTCCGGGAAAATGTGGGAAATATCTCGGATTCAGATAGAACATGAAAAAATAAGATGACACATTCCTATAAAAAAAATTCCTACTGGCCCTCCTTGCGGAGACATGGGCCCCGAAAGGACGCGCCTGCAAATTGGTTTTCCTTGAATAACTTTTAAAGTACTGAATATAATTTAATAAAAATTTAATATGATGGACCCTGGTAGGGACCTCTTAAAGTAGTGTTCTTGAAACATGTTTTGCTTTTTTTGTTTACCAGGGACGGACTAAGTTTTATACCTTAATGCTTAAATTTTGAACACCCCGTATGTAAAGACTTAAAAAAACTAAATTTGCGTAGCGTGAACCTTAAACTAAAATAAAGGTACTCTTGTTTATTGTCAATAAAATGAACCGTTTTCGAGAAAAAGAATAATAAACGAATTATTGTTTTATATTAAATAAAAAAACCGTTTTCGGGAAAAGGAATAATAAAAGAATTATTGTTATATTTTTAATAAAAAAGACCATAAAGAACGTATTGTTGCAAACAAATAAAAATGTTAAAAAAATATGTATGGCTCAACTAATGTTTGAAGGGGTGAACCATCCCAAAAAAGAAGCGGGGAAGGTAACTTACAAGATTTAGAAAAACGAAAGGCGAAAATTATAGATCAGCTGCAGCCTGCAGCCCACCAAAAAAATATAACCCATTAAATGACTGATGCCAGTGTCTTTTATATAAATGTGATTCTATTTATTATAAGTCATAATTTATTACAGAATTTAATATTTTTTTGTTATTTATGTATTTTATAACAGTTATGGTTACTTGTTAAATTTAATTCAATAAAAATTTATAATTTCAAGTTATCTCTATGTATTTTAAATTCAAATTTAGATCTTTTATCCCAAAAAAATGTATACCTCCATTTTATAGTTTTTTCGGTAATTAATTTGGTCTATATTTGGTCGTTTATTTTTTATTATTAGTCTCTTAAGTCACTATTTCTCGCAACATGGACTGCTGGGAGCCCTGAAGTATACGTATAAGTATATAAATATATTTATTTTAAAATGCTAAACTTGTTAGTTACCTTTCTGTTTAACTACAAAATATGCATTAAAAAATTATTTTAATTAAAATTTTGTTTTTAGATTCTCTAACGATTTCAAAACATTAGGACAATAAACGTATACGTTAAGAACGTTCATCTATTAGGGCAGCTGGCTACAAACAGGTTGATTTGTAAAAATAAAATAAATATAATATTTACAAACCTAGCTACTTAATTTTCAAAAATAAACCTTACGCAGCAGGTACTATAAAGGTACCATTTGAATTCGAAAGTCGTTACAGCGTCTGGGCAATGAATTAAGTACAATACTAAATATTAATTACAATTAATGTGAATACAATTAAACCTTTATTCTATTTATAAAGTTTATTATTAATGCCACGCCCTGAGAACAATTTTAAAATAACTTCCTGCCTTAACTTAAATTTAATCGTATGAACTCCGGCAAACTTGGTAGCATTGTTGACTAGCCACACAATATATCCCTTTTTGTGGGATGTTTCTGAAAACAAAAACTCATTTTAGTGTTTTTGTAAGATTTTTTTTTATACAAGTTAATATGAAATGAATATTTGCACGTTATGATAACGTTGTATTAATCCACTGTGCTCTTAGTTGCGGTCCTAGTTGGTGTTCTTGCGCCACCCTTTAAAAACGTTTGGCAACGGTGTCAGGTACAGCGAGATGCTGTCATCTGTCAAACAAAAACGAATAAACTATATACATAAATCGTGAATTTTGAGCTTGGCTCATGTTTATTTTAGCGCACGTTCGCGCAAAAAAAATTAGCCTAATGTAAACTGTAAGATTTCAGTTTCGTTGTGGAATACACGATGACGTGAGTACGTGATTACGCGAGTGATTTATCGTTTGAGTGAAAATGGGGTGGCTCAGTTGTTGCGAATGCAAATCGAAGGAGGAAAAAGTGACCGAGTTGGATTTTTCGCGATGCGGTATCGCGGAGGTGCCCAACGAGGTCTACGCCAACTCTCCAACCCTGGAGGTGTTGCACCTCGAAGGAAATAAGGTTAGGTTTTCCAATCGTATTTTTAAATTAACGTCTATGTTGTATTTTTTTTTTCAGTTAAAAGATTTGTCGCCGCAGCTATTTCAGTGTATAGATTTAAGGTACTTAAATGTTAGTGACAATGAGATACGGGCCATACCACCTCTCATCTCCAAACTGGCCAATTTACAAGTATTAATATTTAGCAAGAATGGTGAGAATATAAATAGAAAAAAATATATCTAAACATAAATAATAATTGAAATTTTAGTTTTGGAAGGAGTACATCCAAATTTAGACAAGTTAAGCAAACTAACAATGTTAGATCTCAGTATGAATGACTTGGGCAAGGTTCCTGAAGCCATTATGAGCCTTATAAACTTACAACAGCTGTGTCTTAATGATACAGGAATTGATTTTGTCCCAGCCAATATTGGAAGATTGTCTAACTTAAGGGTACTGGAGCTTAGGGACAATAATCTATGCGAACTGCCAAAGTCCATAAGGCGTCTAACCAACCTCCAAAGATTGGATGTTAGTGATAATAACCTAACTAATTTGGTAAGCAGTCAAGTGTAGAGTTTTTGTTTGGGTAGACAAATATACGGTTAGATAAAAAAAAAGTGTCATAAAATCCACAAATAATAAATTAGGATATAAAAAACATAAAAACAATCTAAAAATAAAAATATATAAATTAAAAATAAAGAAAAACTATAAAAAATTAACAATGGTTAAAAATGTATTTAAATTTGTTGTCAACCACTTAAAAGTGCTATACCATTTAAAAGGAAAATTTCGGACCGTGTTTCCACTTCTTTAAGAAATATTTAATTCAGGTTTCTTTTGGGACCGTTTTAATTCCAATTTTTCTTCAAAGAAAAGAGTTAAAAATTTAAGGGTGTTAAAATTAATAACTACGCTGGCCTACTGCGGTAGACAAAAATAATTTTGTCTAATAGCGACCTATCTCGGCCGGTGGTGATTTCTCGACCGAGACAAATTTGAATTTGACTACCCTATGCTTTTTCAAGTGTTTTCTTAAATAAAATAATGTTACACAGGTTAGAACATTTAATTAAAATATGTTTTAAACAAGAATTAAATTATTTTACATGTTTATTAGAATAACTAAAGCCTCTTTACCGCATACATATTTTGATGTTTTTACATGCCCATTTGTTTTAGACTGAAGTGTGTGAATCACATGGAAATTTGACAGAGTTGTGGATAAATGGTAACAATATATCCCAGTTATCCGTGTCTATAACGCATTTGAAGAAGATAAATGATTTTGATGCTTCATACAATAATTTAGAATCGATACCAAAAGAAATAGGGCATTGGACGAAAATAACGAATTTAATATTAAGCTTTAATAATCTTTTAACATTACCCAAGGCAGTGGGTAACCTGAGGAACCTGCAAGTATTAAAGTTGGAGTCGAATTTTTTAGAAGAATTGCCTAGTACAATAAGCAAGTTGTTGAACTTGGAAGAACTGAATTTACAAAATAACTCTCTAATTAAGATTCCTACGGGTATAGGGCATTTAAGGAAGCTAGCCACGCTAATTTTATCGGACAATAAACTGAAGAATCTACCGGCCGAAATCGGCAGCTGCACAGCTTTAACGATTCTCAATGTGCACAACAACCAATTGAAACGTCTTCCGGACGAGGTAGGTCACTTACAGAGTCTGACAACACTAGGTCTAATAGGAAATCATCTTACATACCTACCCATAACCATATCAAAACTATCGAACCTCAAGGCCTTATGGCTTACCCCCAATCAAACGCAACCCCTGATTCATCTGCAAAACGAACAGCTAATCGACGGCCAGGTAGTTCTCACCTCAGTAGTATTTCCGCAAGCCCCATGCAAAGACGCCATCACCCAAGCCACCTCCAACGTGCAAATGCCCATAGCAAATCATTCATGCCACATAAGCTTTAACACGACCCCGGAACGCCACGAGACCGAGGTGACCGGGGCCAATATATCATTAAGCCGCACCCCGACGCCGCATCATAAAGAGTTGAAGAGACTGCGTGAAATACTGCGCAACACCAATGTTCCAGAAAGCCAAATGGCCAACGTATCGCAGATCAAGGAGGCCAAAGTGACGCACATCGCTGGCGATATCGACGTGTCGCAGCTGAGTCTGAACGGCGGGAACGGCAGCGATCGGGACTCGACCAAGACTCCGCCCAAGCAGCCTCCGCCCTATCACATCGCCGCAGCGTACTCCAAGAACGCGCACCTGTTTGCGCAGCACAATCCGCCTAGTCCGCACGATCAACCGAAGCAGTTCAGCCAGCAGCAGCCGTCCAACATCCACATGCCCACCCCCAAATTGCCCAATAATCACGTACCGACGCTACAAATTGCGGATAACACCTCGAGGTATACCAACAGTCCCGAGGACGGGGTGCAAATATCCGCCAATCATAAGCACGTCAAGTGGCCGTTCGGCACACACAAAGTCTGTCAGGTTTTGGAAGTGGAATTGCCGGATGATAGGACCAACTTCGATTTTCATATTGCCACCAAAAATGATGTAAGTACTTGTTGCTTAAAACTAAAATACGCAGATCATTTTTTATACCTAGATTGTTGACTTTTAGGGTATATACATAGAGGATGTTCATAGTCAAGGGGCTGCCTACCAAAAATTGATTGAAGGTGATAAAATATTGGCCTTTGATGATATGGATTATTCTGTATTGGATCCAATATCAGCATATCAGGATGCTTGTCGCAAACTAAACACTGTTAAACATGTTACTGTTTCTAGAAAGTAAGCCACTTAAATGAATAGTATTATCTAATTTTTGAAAAAGTGATGATTGGTAAAAAATCGATATTTTTGTTAGATTTATATAAATATTTAAGGAAATCAATGTGTCATATGATGTTTGGATTTTTTACCAATGGTGTATATACATCACTATTTTAATAAAATGTTTAAAAGATAAAAAAGTAAAGAGTGACACAATTTATACGATAAAAAGACTGTTATTTTTCTTGTTGAATAATTGTGTTTTTACCTCATATTTTGTAATTTATTTTTTATAATGGGCTGTGAATTTCAATTTAAGATATAAGTAGTTTTGTATTGTGTTATTTATTTGTAGATTAATTGAGCAATGTTTTGTTATTTGAATGGAAATTTGACTGACTTCATATATTTATACTTTTCTAAGATAAAATACTCGTACATAGGCAACTGATCATTTATATATTGCTTATTGTATAGCTATTTTTGTGCAATCAAAAACTATTTACCCACATCTTACTGTTAAAAATGCTCTAAATGTATTTTCTTTTCATGCATCATCAATGTTTATTAATAAAACTACCATATTTAATACTTAATGTTAATTTATTTAATCATAAAAATGTAAATAAGTGACCAAAACTAATATGTTATCACAATAGTTTTTTTTACTAAATTAATTAAACCTTTATAAATGTTATTTAAATAAAAACCTTAAACACAATTTGTATCGCTTTTCTTTTTTAAAACAATATCTTTAACATTTAGATGAGCAACTTTCTCCTTTGTTTTTGGAGGTACCGATTGCTGGCAAAATCTCTTAAAAGCCTCCAACTCCCTCTCATCTGCATCCATATCATCTTCTGGAATATCTTTAGGTGTAAATACACTGTCTAAAATGTAACCAAATAAAAATCATTTATTCAAAATATTTATTTAAAATATTTACCATATGTCCAATCATCTTTATCCAGCGTAAATTTATCGCCATTATTCGTTGGTATTATGGAAACCTGGGCCGTTTGGCAGGAAGATTTGCTCACATCCTCCGTTCTACGTTTATCTACTTTCGTAATCTCGATGCCTGGAAGTCCTGATAAGATTTCCTGTGCGTTAAACGGCGAAAGCCTGCTTGCCACCGCTTCTGCCGCCGCCGGCTTGGGCATTTCCGGCCCTTTAACCGGCTTCAATTCGGGCATTATCGATGGTATTGGCATTGGCATTACGTTGGAGGGGGTTCCGTTGCTAAGAGATTGCTGTAGTCGGGAACTTCTTATGGTCACCATGCCGTTTTCGCTGGTAAAAATCGCAGCTGGAGCGCACTCGCCGCTCAGGTTGCGTTCGGCTATCGCCTCGGGCGGCTTGCTATGCAAACTCTGAAATATCGGGTTCTTCAACGTCACCATTTGACCGGAAGGTGCCGCTCCAGCTTTCACACTCGCCTCCGCTTTTTTCTTTCTCCGTTTGCTTTTCTTGCCTTTCGGCACGTTGCTGGCCGGCGCAGATCCGTTTTGTTGGATTAATTTTTCGGTATCCACCACGATGACGCCGGATTTACCACCAACGTTTATCGTCGAACCTGGCGGTTGATCCTGCAAGTTGCTCGCCTTAAAGTTCCTATTGGATATCGGACCTTCCACTTTTGTTATCGTGATACCCGGCGGTAATTTCAACATCGGAAAGCTAACCTCTTCTCGTCTTTCGATTACTTCCACCTTTTGTTCCGCGGATTTTTCTTTCTTCTTCTTCTTCTTACCTTCAGATTGAGTACTTGGGTCCAGCGCGAGAGTTACCTTAAGCTCCTTACTTAAAACCTGCTTAGCAGGTTCCTGCCTATTCTTATTCTTCTTCTTGTTGTTGTTACTCAGCACTTCCTGTTTCTTATTGTTTGCTGGCGCATCCACCTTATCCGCGCCATTAACCAACGTGTAAAGTAGTTTGTCTTGATCAGGTGTAGAGCCCTTCAGTGTAATAGTAACCGTTGGTTGTTGTCCGCCATTTTCTGCCACCCTTTTAATAGTCACCATCGCAGGTATGGTTTCTTCAACCACCTGGTCGTTAACCGGTTTTGAATCCGCTTGCTTACCAGCCGTTTTGTTTTTCTTCATCCTTTTCCGTTCCTTTTTGCTCATCTGCTGGATTCTAGCTTTTTCCGCCAGCTGTTTAGCCAGATCTTCGGCTCTCTTCCTATCCTCCTCCTTGCGCCTTTCTTCAGCTTGTTTTCGTCGTTCCTCCTCCTCTATTTTCAGACGTTCCTCCTCTTTTTTCTGCCGTTGACGCTCCTTCTTGGCGGCTTTTTTGTCAACGATCGCCATCTTGTCATTACTCGTGTTACCTTCAATGTAGTTCAATAGACCGGATATATCGTCAGTAATTAAGTCAGGCGATGGGTTGGGTGCTTGGACAATGGGTGCAGGGGCGAATGTAGCTGTAGGGGGTGGCACTCTTTCCTCCAATTTGCTAATACTTTTCTGAACTTTACTATTTGTTATGGTTGTACTGGTAGCACTAGTTGGAGTTGGGGCCACTTTAAAACCGGGATCTTTAGTTCTCTTTTCTCTCCTCTGATGCAACCGTATTCGCAGCTTATCGCGAAGCTCGCTTTTTTTATGGGTATGAGAAGACACAGCCTATAAAAAATATATTATCATTTATCTAAAGGAATTGTTGTGTAAACATACCGTCCCAAATACTTCACAGTATGTACAGTCGCACTTATTCTTGGATTCCTTATGATGCTCACAACCGCCTTTACAACCTTTCTTCAATTCCGCCTTTAAATCTTCTTCATGTTTACAGCTGTGCTTGCACGGGGGTTCTTTTGAAGTTACTGCAGCAGCAGCAGTACTACTAACACTAGCCGCCCTAAAATTTATTAACATTAATTTAAACAACGCATTAATAAAATAATACACTCACTTTCTGCTTTTAAGCAGCTCTCTTATTTTGTTATCATTCTCTTTAGATGTCTCACTTTTCTTTAGCGCATTCGGAAAAAACGAAGTGTGCTTGACGGAATAACCCATACCATTGTTAAATATGTCCTTCTTGATTTTGATGAAGTTTTTGGCGTTTTTGTTAAGCACCTGGTCGCTTTTGTTCGTAGGACTGTCTTTTCTATGTTTCATAAACTCGTCAAACACGACGCTGTCTTTAGTGCGAAGAACATCCCCCGGTATATCGTTGGATAATTGTTTTAACGCGTTTGACGACATAATTGGTTCATCTTCCAAAGAAGCCGCAGAAAATTTTTCGCTTAAATTCGCTAGATCCAGTTTGTCAGCTAATAGCTTCGTCAGTTCGGAACTAGGTGTCCGGCCGTTTCTATAGTTTTTCGTTTGCTCGATTATCCTGTGTCCAGTCACATGTTTGTGCAAAAAGTTGAGATCAATTATCAGGTTACATTTTCTGCAATAGCCTATTCGAGATGGCAGTCTTATTTTGTCATTACCTTCTATTTCAATTATTTTTTGATACTTTCCAACAAGGCAATTCTCGCATATGCATTGCCCGTTTTTGTCCAATATAGGGCCTGCAATTTGAATGTTTGAGTCACTTAAAAGTCTAAATATGTGGTGGTCAAATCTAGAGAGGTCAAATTTGTCTTTCCTGTAAAAAACAATATTTAACAATATTTTGTTGCTGGCCTTCTTTATAAACTTACAGCTCAGTTATTCGGTCAACCCAAAAATCTCGCGCCAAGATTTTTGTATGTTCCTCCATCATAAAATGTTCAGTTTCATACTCTTCAGAAGTTTCTGGTACAATTGAGCTTTCACTACAAAAAAATGGAAATGAAAGAGAGTGATATGATATATGTAAAAATATCACATCATTTTTAAAAAATTTCAGGCAAAAACGTACCTTAGTTCATTTATTCTTTTTTGTTCCTTTATCCACATTTTTCTTAAATTGCCCAATAGTTCAAACATTTTTGAGGTGTCAGTAGGATTTATTTTATTCTAAAAATTTATACTGTTAGATTTTACATCTATCTATCATTTCATTAAAAAAATTTCACTAAAAAATCTTTTCATTCCAAAATACTGATTGCTTACCTGAAATTCATAAATCCTATTTTGAACATACTCAGTATCAAAAAAGTAGTTTATAAAAATAAAATTATTAAAATCAATCCAACACACAGAATAATTTTTGTTTAATAAAGCTTCTAGTTCAGGAAAAACTGTGTTTATACATTTGGCTGCTGAGAGCATGGCTTCGTAATAATAAACAAGTGCTAAAAAAAATTTAATATGTATTACGCAATATAAATAATTAAACTTACTTTTAATTGTCACACTATTTTCCTTGTCACTTGATTTTGAAAAATTCCAATGGGCAAAAATACAGTATTCTCTTAATAAAGCAAATAGTCTTATATAAAATTGGGATTCATCTGCTTCAAGAAGACTAAAATAATTTATAATATCAGTTATATAAACCAAGTTCTATATATGCACAAATTATCCTTTCTAGGTTTTTTAATTTATAATTTTTATAAATAAAAAAGATAAAAATACAAAGAAGGATTCTTGGTGCACCCTGTATATTAAAAAAATATTTTTACATACATTGTCACTGCTTCTCGTAATTCTTGTATAAAATCCTTTGCAAGCACCTCTCGTGTTGCCTCAGGATTACAGCTAACAAAGTTCCTGTAAACATAGTGCATATAATGCTGTACAATTGACCAACATTTGGCTTCAGGTGGTTCCATTTCTTTAATTTTGTTTAGAAAATCCAGGAATTTTTTTTTCTCAACCATCGTGAAGTCCTGGTAGTTTATTGAACTAATGCCATTGCTAAGGTTGACTTTTACGCCGTTTAAACTCTGCTCTGGTATCTAGAAAACAAACATAAACGCTTATTTAACGTTCAAAACAATTCATATTGTACCATCATGTCATGTTATGAGCCTACCTTAAGAAGCCGATGTATGTTTTCTTTGGGCTTGTCATAGAGCTTTTTCAAGAAATCTAACGAATAAACACTGGACGAATCTTCGGTAGATTGCCTTAAACCCATATCAAACTCATATGAAGAGCGGCGGCACGTTTGTTTAATAAGAAGCTCAATAAATCCAAAGTCGTTCATTTTAATTCATCAGCTCAAAAAACGTAAACAACACAAACAAATCGATTTCGCTTCAACTTCGGTATCGTCTATCTTTCAAATTTGACTCTTGATGCTTTTTCTCAACATTTCAGCCACACTGTCGTTCAATCGACGTCAAATGTCAAAATTAAAGCGCTTTTTTGCGGTCGCTGTAATTAGGGGTTATGTCACCGTACAGGAACCTGTAAAAACCACAGACATTAGACTGTTAGATGCCCAAAAGACCTTACCAGCAATAGAATATTTTGAAACATTCTATTTTTGCAAAAAGATAAATTACGCAAGCATAAAACATAAAATTTAACCAACTATTTTTTTCATAGAACTCTTTATGCCATCTAAAAGTTCCCTTTTACCATTTTAAAATTCCTTTTAATTCGTTTCAATAATTTTTCTCCAAATCAAATTTTACCAAAACTTAAGTCGTAAATTCAACTAACGATTTCTTGGAGAGGAGAAGAATTTTGTAGGATGTTAAGTGGTTTTTGAAAAGGAAGAATTTAGTATAGAAAAAATACGGTGTCATGTAATATACCTATGCTATCCTTAAATGTTGAAAATTTGAAAAACAGCGTTTTTACACTTTTGGGTTGGAATTTCTCGAAAATCTGATGTGAAATGAAGGCATACTTAAATCAAAACAGTTGTGTTCAAAATATTATTTTTATAAGGATATTTTTAAAGGAATTTAAATTGTTTATTTTTATACATAAATTTTGAATAAAATTTCAGACCAAAACCAAAATATATGTATAAAAATGTGGAATATTTTGTGGCCCCAGGTAAAGCTTTTAAAATTATTTAATTTTATTTCGAATAAAGTTTAAAATAAATTAACAAATGTTGTTGTAGTCGACGTGACATTTAGCAAAACTAGTTTTCAAAACTTTTTATTAATTATTATCGGGTGCTGATCGAAACGAAAATAGGTGCATTTGATAAAAATGTTTTTTGTTGTAATGTCATTTAAAATGTAAGTTAAACAGTTTACAGGTACATACAATAATTTTGTACTGAATGTTTTTCAGCATGTTCCATGGCTTTATAGCAAAGGTACACAAGAACTGTTAGTCAGTTCAGCAGCCAATCGCGTGGAGGCGATCTCAACTCTCGAACGTACCGCTGTTGGTACCATCAAACAGTAGTGTAGTAACCAACAGAGGTACCTTTACGTTTCGTATCGAGCACGGTGACATTTTCCAAAACAATCGGAGTTTTTGAGTGAACTTTCATCTAGTGACAGCACATTCTCGATTTGATCTCTGGGAAAAATGTGATTGAGACGAATTCCTTCAAAAAAACTATTTAAGGTATGGTAGGTACAATTGTTGTCACTTATTTCGAGTATTTGCTAATAACAACAATAGGGTTTTATTTTTGAATGTCGAACAAAAGGGTTTTGTTAGAAAGGACAAATAAAAAGTAGTGGACCATAAATTAATATAATGCGTGTACTAACACAGGTAGCTCAGAGCATTTAAAAAAATATGCACGATATTAAATTATAATTTATTGCAAATTTACCTAACTGGTTTGCAACATGGTATTTTTCTATCGGCCTTAAAACTATAGATTGCAATAAGAAAATTCTTATTGCACTTCACTTCCTGTTGCGCATTTTCACAAATTATCCTTCATTATCACATTGTGTAACATTTTTAAATAAATTGTTTAATAAACAATTATTTTGTCAATCAACAAAAAATGTCACATAAACAATTTCAAACCGTGTCATTTCGGTCTAGCTAGAAAGCTAGAAAATAATCATTTCGTATGAGCTTCTTAGTCAGAACTAGCTCACAACTAGTTACACAACTTTAATTGTCACCAAGGGTTAATAATCGCATAATGCCATCCTAGGCACCAATAAAAATAATAGAACTTTTAACTAAAGTTTTTGAGGTTTTACTCATTTAGATCGAATTTCGTTAATTTGTAAACCCAACAGGTGTTTAGTTAATTGAAACTGGAGCTTTTAAGGCTTCATTTCATACCTGACAAATTTTTAAATTATTTCAAAAATATAAATTGTGTAATTTAAAGAAAATTCGCTTTCATATCTTGAAGGCATTTATTTGTGGAATGTGGTAGTGAATACTTTAACCGAGCATGGTTGTGCCATATTTACTATAACATTGATTGGCATACCCTTTTAACTTTTTGTATTGCAACACATAAAACATTTTTTTTGACGATTTGTCGTCGTATTGAATAAAAACGATTGTACAAAAGAAAGCTTTTGTTGTGGATTTGATATCTATAAAAAACAATTTAAATGCTTAGGAACTGTATTAAATGGTTTTATTGATAATTAGAGACCGGACTTTTAGGCACTTAAAAATTGAAAAAGGCACCCAAAAGAGGCAAAATAGGCTTAAAAGAGGCAAAAACAGGCATAAAAGAGGCAAAAAAGCCAATTTGAAAAAAAATCTTTTATTCCAATATTCAGTGTGTCCTAGATGGGTGAAATTCTCGATTTAAATTTAAATTTTTGGGGTTCAAAAACACATTTTGCATTTTCAAAAGAAAGTTTTGTTGCGAATTTGATATCTATAAGCAACAGTTTAAATGCTTAGGAACTGTATTAAATGGTTTTATTGATAATTAGAGACCGGACTTTTAGGCACTTCAAAATTGTAAAAGACACCCAAAAGAGGTAAAATAGGCTTAAAAGAAGCAAAACAGGCAAAAAGGCAATTTGAAAAAAAACTCTTTTATTCTAATATACAGTGAGTCCTAGATAGGTGAAACGACCGTTGGAATTCTCGATTTAAATTTTAATTTTTTGGGGTTCAAAAACACATTTTGCATTTTCAAAAGAAAGTTTTGTTGCGAATTTGATATTTTTAAGAAACAATTTAAATTCTGAGGATTAAATTAAAGTATTAAATGGTTTTATTGATAATTAGAGACCGGACTTTTAGGCACTTAAAAATTGAAAAAGACACCCAAAAGAGGCAAAATAGGCAATTTGAAAAAATAAACTTTTTTAATTTAAATACTACGACTCTTGGAAAAGGAGAGAAATTCTCGATTTACATTTTAATTTTTTTGGGTTCAAAAACACATTTTGCATTTTCAAAGTTGACGATAGGCATTTTACGTTGATAATATACCTACTAATATTTAACCTAGATATGCACAACATTTCTTCTTTTATATCTTGTGTATTTTGTCATTTTATTTAGTTTGAAGGTTGATAAACTTTATCATCAAACAAGGCACAATCTTAAAAAAAATCATATATTCACTATCGAATAGAAAAGAGAAATAACGAAGGCCAAAAAATGGCGTAACATTAACACTACTATTTGAAACCAGTTACAAATATGTATGTTATACATGGACAATATTTGGGTTGCTTGCAAAACCTGTAGGTAATAGTTTTCTTTACATGCACAAAATGCAGGGTCTTCTCATATGAATGTATTATGCTATGAGAAAAAAGAGCATCGCGTTAATTTTCCCATCATTTATGAAAAAAGAATATGCGTACACTGTATAATCTTATAATAATTCACACGGCACAGGATGGTAACAATATGTAATGTTACATTAATTTTGATAGATTGACGCTCACTTACGTAATAACTATACATAGCTATAAAGTAATTTGTTTCATTAACAATTAAGACATTGATGGACCTTATATGAAAAAGATATTTTCATGAATCATCTTTTATTATCTTTAATCTCATTTTATCATTAAAAAATGTTTCAAAATATTTACAAATTTTCCCACCGCATTCTTGGTTATTAATTATTTGCTAATTATAGCTATAGCTGACGACGCCTTAGAAAACTCGAAATTAAGGACAATATCATTAAATCCATCATTTTACGATGCTAATATTTGCCCAAAGACATACTTTCACTAACGGGCCAAAATTGTCAGCAAGAAAACAAATTGTTTTCACTTTTTATATTGAACCAAGAAAAGTCTATTTTTTAAATTTTATATATATATATATATATATATAGAGCAATTTTTGAACCACATCTTGGTAAAAATCTAAATTCCTGAATTTGTTGGAAGTATTATAATAATTACGGGCTGATATTTGCATAACATAAACGTGATAGTAAGGTAACTGTTACGTGTAACACTGTTTAGTTTTGTTTGTACACAATTATAACACATAGTTGTTCGTTTACGGGCATTCATCAGCAAGGCAATAAAGAGAAAAATGTGACTCATCCAAAATTTGAAGATTTTTTAAACATTTATTGACCAATAAATTGTTGCCAAATGATTTATAGTTCGAAGCAACATGTTTAATAATGTAACATAATGTAAAATAATTTGCTACCCTAATAATAACAGGTGTCCAAATGGGCCGAAACAAATTGTGGGTATTATTGTGTGATAAATTTCTTAATGCATCTTCCTTTACAATGCAAAAGAATCAATAACAGTATATCATTTTTGAAAGATGCCAAAATCGAAATTATATTCCTTTCACGTTCATATACATACCTATTTATATTCAAGAATTAAAACCCATGTGCTTATGCTTAATACAGTTGGCATATTAAGTTTATTGAATTTCTCTGAATTAGTTGATACCGTAATTCCAAAAAATTGTCGCCACATAAATTGGATTTGAAAATTATTATTTAATTGACTTCCTTAACGTAGTTAATTAATGAGCAATTTTGTTAATTTCAAAGTAGTACAGATTTACACAGTTATCAGCTGGTTTACAGATCAATAGGTGGCCTGAAAAGCAATTGTTATTATTATTATGATCATTACAAGAACGGTGTACAGTCCAATAATTATTGTAAAGATACCAATTTGTTTAATTATAGATCCTTGATGTACAAAAATTCTACAAGGTTACCAGATTATCTTAACGTATTATTATTATTAAATGAATATCCATATACCTAATATATCCGGGAAATAGTAATAACACAGAATTAGTTTTATATAAATAAATACATATTGTGGTTACCAACCGTTTTTGTAATTTAATGTGGTTGCATTAAGGCCATATTAAAAAATAAACATACACGACAATATAAAATTACCCACACAAAGTTCTTTTTGTAATTAAAGATAAAAGATGAGTGCATATACTTTAGGTTATTCACACTGTAAACAATACTGTTATCATGTGCTTTTGATTAATTTTAGTGGAAACCAAAATAATTTTGTTAATCCTGGAAAGGTCAAGGAAGTTTCGCAAAAAATCTACATTCCCCACAATCGTAAATATATATTTATTGGAAATTTCCTAAACAACATAACATTTATTGAAAAGGTCTTCAATTAAAATGCTTTATAGAGTAAACATTAAAAACCAATAGCGTAAAACAGTTTTGCTGAAAACAATAAATTTGTCTCATAACATACCCCCGAAGTCTTCAATTGCACAAACTAGTACTACTAAATTTTGTAATGAACAGTTAATAACATTTGAGTCACAGCTGTTACGAGTACATTCTATTGATTACATTTAACAAACAATGTATAGATTTCAGTGTCATTAAGTAAATTTACCAATTTTGTAAAAGCATATGGCCCAATATGCAAAAACATTTCTCTTGGTTGGCACAATGGACCTTATTATATTTAATGACAATACGAAATCCTTTTGGGTTTTGGTACCTGGTGGCTTTTCAAAGAAGAAGCTCGTAGCAAGAAATATTTTATTGATCCAATTATTTTTAAGAACGTTCTGTAATTCTCGAGCTATGATTCATTTATAATAGTTTCATATGCTTAAGAGCAGCTTAGCAGGAAATTGTTTACACTAAGTTGAAACTGGATGTTGATTGAGTCAGTTTTATTTTTTTGTTAAGTACGCCAGTGTACAAGTTTCAACGTTCTATGAATTCTGAAATTACTACAACCTTGAAATACCTCTTTGCTACAATCGAAGATTATGCATTACACACCTTGCAATATTTATATAAATGTAATTATAATTTTAATTGAAATCCATTTATAAAGCATCAGGAGAAAAAACGATTAAAGTGTGTTTTTTTCAAACTCTGTTCTATCCTTGACATTTTTTTATTTACCCATGAACAAGCTGAATATTTTAATTAATTAATTATCAGTATAAAGGACCAACAAAGAGAAACAATACATTGCAACCAGATAAAAAATTGTATCATATCTTTTCATCTTATTTATATTAACTATTTCTCAATCATCATCTATTTGGTATATCATTAGGCAATATTTTACAGTTACATACTTTTTATGTTTCTATCAATATGGTTCCTAATAACTCACATTTATCTTTTTATCTAAATATAATTAACGTTAACAGGCTTTGACAAACAGGAAGTCGTATTTCAATGAATTTAAAAAGAAGCAAATACTTGTAGGTAAGTGTTTGTAAAACAAATTTGTTGGGATGTTGCTTGCATTGAACTAAATTAACAGCTCGATGTTAATTTGTAAGGTCACTGTTGTTTTAGTAGATGAATATTTAAAAATAAATCAATCACATTAAACCTAATTATTTTTTTAGATATGAGGTGGTTTAGAAAGCAGGACGAGGCTCCAAGGCTTTTGAGTCTTTCACCCCTAAGAAATTCTGAAAACCTTACACCTTCATTTGAAGCCATTAGTGTAGATGTGGACGTTCCAAACACCCCAAGGCAAAATTTGAGGCATAGATCTAGAATTGATATGACTCCAAACTCCTGGGCCAGACGTCAATACAACAAGAACGATACTAATTTGTACAATGTGGAAGAAAGCATCGTGATTATAGAAAAGTCGGATAGAAGACGGCACAAATCTCAACCAAGGAACTCCAGGTCAATCGAAACTTGCGGTCACTATAGGGAAAAACGCAATCCCTTGTTGGACAAAGTCAAGCACACGCGTTTATCGTGTTTCCGCTCAAATTCTAATGCTTCTGCAGCGACTGAAGTAGCTTCGTGTAGTACCGATGTACAAACAAACCCCTTGCCAAACACATCATCAACTTCCAGTGATAAAGAGTTCGAGAATATTGATGTGGTAGATTTTATTCAGAGCACCGATGATAAGCAGTATGACACGATGTCGAGGGCTTCTTGTTTCACGGCCAAACTAAGAGCTATGTCGGAAAAATACTTACAATCTTCAACGAGTAAGTTTTTAAATAAGTTGTACAAGCAGACCGGTTCTTTGGAGGAACCAACGCCCACTAAAAGCCATAAGAAGATTGACAAGAAGAGGAGTTTTTCTTATGGAGCCTTGCCAGATATTGAGAATTTTCAAAGTACTAATAATCCCTTATATGCTGATGCCGATTTAACACACACTCACGATGAAGAAGATAGATTGCCATTGGTCGACAACGAGGATTCAGACAGTGGAATTCTTGTAAACGACTCATCGTTTTCCTCAGGATTTGATAGCAGTTCCTACTCAGTGTCACCTTTGGAACTAACGACGGTCGATGTGTATGATTCAGAGAGCACACCTGATAAAAATCATGGCAGAAAGAAAGCCAGAAGTCATCCTCAAAGAGCTCTATCGTTGGATAGACGCGAACTCTTCAGATGCTCATTGGGCGAGAGCACTGATGTCGACCAACCGAATCAAATTTGCAATAAAAATGTCATGGTGGTGAGGTTAACAAAAGTTAGCTTCAAAGAAGAGCTGGGCATTTTTATAACAAAAAGCAAAATAATCGCTAAAGGATATCTGGTTGCACAAGTAGTCCCAGATGGTATCGCAGCAAAAGAAGGCACCCTTTTAGTCGGTGACGAAATCGTCAGTGTTAATGGAACACCTATAGCCGGTTTAACAATTATAGAAGCAAAAAAATCCCTGTGTGTTCCAACTTTAGACGTCGAGTTGGTTGTCATTCGCTCGAGCTTTATGAGGGAAAGCTCAGTTGATTTTGACACAAACCGGCATTCCATAGCGGAGAGTCCCACCAAGCAATTGAATTCAAGTCCGCTATACAAAAGGCAGCCATACTTTCAGAAGAATAGTGCTATACACGGTAGCTACAACCGGGTGCTAAGAAGCAGAAACTCGAATCAGTTTAAGAACCTCGAGGGACCGCCGTTGAGTCCAAAATCAAAAGAACCCAGCAGATTGGAGGTGCTGAATAATACCACGACAAATTTTTGCACGTTACCCAGAAGACCGTGTCAGAATATCTGCACTTTTCATACAGTGACTTTGGAGAAAGGGGCGGGCAAAAAATCGCTTGGGTTCACCATAGTGGGTGGTAGGGACTCCCCAAAAGGCGCTCTGGGGATTTTCGTGAAAACGATCATGCATAATGGACAGGCGGCCGAGGATGGAAGGCTGAAGGCTGGTAAGACTGGTTAATACTTTTTAAAATATTTGTTGGTTTACTACTTGTTGGTTGTTTTTAGGTGACGAAATATTAGCTGTAAATGGTCAAGTTTGCCATGATATTTCTCATGCAGAGGCGGTCTTGCTGTTTAAGAGCGTAAAGAATGGTTCGATTACTTTACAGGTTTGCAGGAGGAAGAAGAGTAAATTGGGGTAAGTTTTAAAATAAAAAAACGCTATACCTATAGTTTAAATTTATTGTTTTTTATCGTAGGGCTTTAAAAACAAAATCTTGCAGCAGTATAGCCCAACCGAATTCATAGCAGGATTGTGGTAACAATTAGTTGTAAATTTGGCCAAATATTTATTGTAAAAATATTTATATAAATGAACTGATGTATTATATTAGTATGTATTCATTTACTATAATAAGGTTTTGTATTTTTATGTATATAAATTGGTATTGTGATAATGATAAAATAAATCAAAAATGAATCTAATATGTTAACATTGTTTTACTGGGGCGGCTTATGATGATAAAATATTTATTGATTTGCGAAGAACGATAAAAAGAGCCATTATTTAGCACTTGCGTCATTACAATTGGGGTTGTCGCTCTGTAGGTATTGATTTTAACTAGAATTCAGCTTGAGCTTGTCCCGTCCGCGCCCACTTTAGTGCAAACAGGGGTGGCAATCGACTCACAAATTTAGATGGCGGGAAAGGGTTGCACATGTATTTTGACGTATGTCAATCAGAAAGAAATCAAATTTCCGTCGGATCTGGCGGTTGACAGTTCTGTGCAATTTTAAAGATGACTGATTGTATCAAGAGGAAACAGGGTGTGAGTTGTAAGTGCAACAAACTGTGCGATTTGTTTGTTTATTTTCGAAATTTTTACGATGCCTTTCATTCAGATGCATGTATTAGCTTTTTTAAAAGTACGCAATAGAAATTGCTTGAATTGTATATATTGAGTAGGTATGTGCGCAATGAGTCTAAATAAGCACAGGTCTTTTTATTAGACGGTGTGTATTATTGTATGTCTTGGGTTCCTATCCTTTTTATTGACAGGCTCGATTTTAGTAGGGGAAAAAATTGCATTCAATGAATCAAAATGAATACAAATTTATTGTCAAAATGGTGCCGAATATGTTCAAATGAAATACAAGCCGGAATATTTGTTTTTGGTGAGGAAGCAAGGCGGTCATTCGTACATGCCAAAATAAGAAGATACTTGGCCCTTACGGTATGTCAACATCATTTTATCACTAATGATGAATTTATTAACCATTTTTTTACGTTTAGATTTCTATTGAAGACAAATTGCCCAAAATGATTTGCATAGATTGTTGCAAAAAATTGGAGGCATTTCACCGATTTGCAAGCATGGCTTTAAAGAATCAAGACAAAATGTCCAAATTTTTGTGCAATAATTCCAATTTCACCGAGGCTAGATATAGCGACAACAAATCATTACTCCACACTTATCTGACCAAGGTAAAACATTTCCTTTGTTGTGTTAGGTTATGTAACAAAGAATTTTAGGGATTCAAAGACAAAAACTCAATTCAAGAAACCGAAGTGACTGAAATGGAAGTTCGGATAGACCCCATGATAATTTTACAATGCTGTTTGGACGAAGACAAAGAAGAAGACGAAATCGAGCCGACAAATATAACCCATGAAAGAAATAGCACCGTAGAGACTGACTTAGAGAAACAGACTGAAGAAAGTGACTCATCCTCCAACAACATGGAGGACGAGCAAAACGACGACGAGGAGGATAGTGATAATAGTGATGATGAAGCAGGGGCCAAATTTTCTTGCCCAATATGCGGAAGACAGATATCGACTAAGGGGAATTTGAAGGTACACCTGGAAACGCACCGACCTAAGGGAAAGTACGGATGCGAGATATGCGGACGGATGTAAAGAAATATTTAATTTTTGTAGTACCTACCACCTACTAATTGAATATTTTTTTTTTAGTTTTAAAACTCAGTGCAATTTGTATCGCCACAAGGAGTATCATGAAGGAGTTCAGTACCCATGCAGCGTATGTGGGCGTGTGTATCCGACAAACAGCACTTTAAGAGCCCATTCCATCACTCATAGTGATTTAAGGCCTCACAAGTGTCCATTGTGCGATAAGACTTTCAAACGAAACCAAGACTTAAAGGTAAACAGTTAAATTAAGATTCATACAATGCATTTCGTATTTATATTGTTTTAGTTTCACATAAATCAACATACAGGTGCAAGGCCGTATCAATGCCCCTACTGCCCGAAGGCTTTTGCGAGCTCGGGTAACTGTTTTTCGCATAGGAAAAGAATGCATCCGATGGAAGTGGAGAGGGACAGGGAAAGGGCGGCCAAAATAATGAGATAACTTTCTTGGACACCTTCCGTTCTCAAATTGTCAAATGTTGTAATAATTTGGTGTTTACCTACTTTTAAATCACAGATATATTAGCAGTTACTTTGGGAAGGTATATTGGGGAGGCAATACCACATACTTCCATACATATACAAATCATTTCCAACTGTGGCGTCATTTCCGGTTTAAAAAGAAATACCATATTTTTCTCCCTATTTGGGGTAGGTATACCTAATAAAGTACTTTTTAATAAATTGCTTATTAATTGTATGAAAAAAAGCATTTAACATTATTACACACAAAATTATGATATTTTAGATTTTATAATGTTTTATAACAGCGAGAATTTGGCAACGTCTTATTTCTACCACGACAGCCAAAAGGGTTTTATCATAGACATACTAATATGTATATGGTTTTTATAATTCTGTAGTATACCAATTGTTTTGGCATTGATTTTTTCCATTGTGTTTAAGCGGTATATGTAGATATGGAAGTATGTGGGCAATAGAGAGAGGTTTTTAGTTAAAAATGTAATAGGTAGGTAGGTACTTCAATGTGATTATTTCGTAGTGATTTTTAGAGATCTGTGATGAATTTTGTATACGATTTCTTTTATGGTAATAATATGTATGTCGACTAAGGTATATGTTAGTAAATTAACATTATTTTTTTAATAGCTATATAATTTTCGGACTGTCACGGTACTGATTAATATAAAAAAGTGACACTAAATTACTAAAAAGTGTATTATTAGCACCAAGTATGCATACTTTATTTTTATAAACAAGCGAAATAGATTATTTTAATGGACATATGTATTTCTTAATTAATTTTGGTGCTAATATTTTCTATAAGTGTATAATAAATAGTTTAAAATAGCTGATAAATAATGTCAGTATTATACAAGTAGATCAAAATGTATATAACAGTTGTTAAATAAAGGACATAAAATTAAAAATGCCTATTATTTAGTAAACAAAATTTAAATCATACTTATAAATAGATTTTTAAGTCAGTGAAATACTTGAAGGAATACTTTGCTGTAGGGGAAATACCAGTGCCAGTTTTCTTTTTACCTAAGTGCGCTTGTTTACGTCCATACACTTAATTTCAGTCGCCCACTTGACTGGTTGTTACAATTTTATCATTGTGTAGGTACCTATAGTGAATAAATAAAGGTATGTAACATTTATTTTAGTAAAAATACAATTAATTTATATTAATTAAATCATAGTTAATAATAACTTGTAACCGGTGGTTTTATGGGAATCCCCTTTTGTACTTAAGGGGCCCTCTTGCACTTCATTAATAATTTAATCAATCTTTTATGGAAGTAAAAATATATAAATAAAATAAATAACAAAATATTAGAAGAACATTTTAAATGATAACCTAGGTATTGTTGTTGACCTTGATAAGTGCCCGTAAAAAAAACTTGATAAATAGAAAATCGGTGCTAATGAAAACGCGCGTTATGCGCAATAATAAAGTTTATTAAAATAGTTAAAATATATTAATGGGGTATTATTAAAATATTATCTTAGCATGCCCTTCGTTGACCTTAGAGAGTGGTGATCAATATTACTGCTATTTTGCTTCTGATCGTACAGTAGTATTTTGAACGTAGCAGCGGGAATACAGATGGAGTAGAGTGCATCGTGTGGCGCTGTGTTATACGTGAAGTGAGCGGATTTAAAAAAATATAACTACACATTTTTTTAAGTTGAAATGGAGGAAATTGAACAGACTTCCAGCAAGCAGTTAAGAAGTTTGGGCCAAAATGGCATCGTTCAGCCACTCCTCACAGGTAATTTAAATTAATTTTTATTTACTTAAACTTAAACATTCAATTGTTTTATTTTTAATTAATGCGTTTTTGATGTTTTAAATTGTCAGCATAATTTTAACGCTTGTTTCTGTTATAATTATTTAAAAATTAGTGAACTTTTATTTTAATTCAATGATATATTTATAGTTTAGTTTTTTTTTAATCACTATAAATAAAACTTTGCGTAATTATAGATAATGCGTTAGATGTAAATAGATGTAAGATGTAAATGAACCTAAAGCTTTTTTTTAGATTTATACCAAATCACAATGGCCTATGCATATTGGAAGTCCGGCAAAACCAAAGACCATGCAGTATTTGACTTATTTTTTCGAAAAAATCCATTTCAGGGTGAATTCACCATTTTTGGTGGACTTGAAGAGTGCCTCAAATTTTTGGAAAAGTTTCACTATTCCGCAAGCGGTAAATATATAAATAATCTTTATTTACTTGTTATGTCTCAATTTTTAACACCGCGTTATCTACGATGATAAAAATATTTACCAAGCATTTATGTCTAAATTATTAAAAAGTGTACCTAATATAATTAAATCGACCCAATTTAACTACATAATTACATACTTTTAGATATTGAATATTTAAAAGAAACCTTGCCTCCCTCAATTGAGAGCGATTTTTATAATTTCCTTAACACAGTGTCAGCTGAAGACGTTAGATTATACGCCATACCGGAAGGATCTATCGCTTTTCCCAGGTATACTACAAGGAACCTATTCGCGACCCTTATTAATGTCTTATTAATTTTAGAGTACCCTTAATGAGGATAGAGGGACCTTTAATTATAGTACAACTTTTAGAAACAACCTTGCTTACTTTGGTGAATTATGCTAGGTTTGTGAGCTATACAAACTTTATTTTTGTATTATTATTGAAGTAAAATTTTAGTTTAATGTCCACAAATGCAGCGAGGTATAGAATGGCCGCTGGAAATATGAAATTATTTGAGTTTGGTCTAAGAAGAGCCCAGGGCCCTGATGGGGGCCTTTCTGCGTCAAAGTACTCATATATTGGTAGGTAATAAATTTTATCAATGACGAAACCAATAAATGAATACTAATTTGACCTTTTAATCCAAATAAATACCTACCTAAATTGAAAAAATAGTTGATAATTAATTTATCCGTAATGATTTGCAAAACTTTTTTGGCAATGGAAAATTCTTGTGCAACACAGTTTTTCAAGGAGCGATAATTAACGAGTTTCGTGGTAGGCATGGAAAAGTCCGGGCACTATTTGGTACCTGGTTCCAACAGTGTCAAGTAAAATAGATAATCAATACCGAATTGCAGACGAACTGTTTGCTTTAACAGGAATTGTGTGGAAATATTAAATATTTCGTACCAGTTTACTACATCATCAATGTTGCCTGACAAAAAATCATTTATCTCTATTATACACTTTAGAAATTGATTTTATAACAAGCTTGTAATTTTATAGGTGGATTTGATGGGACTAGCAACGTTTTAGCGGGAAAGCTCTTCAATATTCCTGTAAAAGGCACTCACGCCCATGCTTATATAACTTCGTTTAACGGTTTTTCCGAGTTAAGAAACACGTGTTTAGAGCCAAAAGGAGGAGGACCTCAGAGGGACCTCTTGCAACTAGCTTTAGGACACAGATCAAACTTGGTTCCAACTTTTAGCGTTGTGGAATCGGAAGCAAGCGATGGGGAGTTGGCCGCCTTTATTTCCTTCGCGATCGCATTTCCCGATGGTTTTATGACCCTGGTTGACACATATGACGTTAAGAGGTATTCCTGCTCTTCAAATAAGTTGTTCAATGTCACTCCAAACACTCAATCGCATAACGAGTACAGGTAAAACGAGTAAGAATTAGGTGCATGTCCATCCAAATAAACAAACAAACAAACAAACATGGGGATAGTTTGTCCAGTTTAGCCCCTCCCGGCAGATTTTGACGAACCTGTGCTGGGTATGCGAGCTTACTACGCTCTGCACCTACACTGGCACGTAAAATTAACTGCCTCATCCCGAGCACCATTTTAAGTAAATTTGGGCTTTGTAAAAATGCTGCTTGGGAATATTTACATATGATATAGTACCAATGGTACTTTGTATTGCAGGTTTAATCTCATTCCCATGCCAAATACTAAACGGGGACAAAATAACTGTTCTGGGTATGTTATTCTCAACTTAACACATCACAATTAAGAAGGTCGAAAAATGATACCTAAACCTGAAATATCAATAATTTTGATAATATTTACCTATAGCATGAGCTTACGTATAATTGAACTGGACATTTTTAGATCACTCTTAAGAATTGGGAGCTTAGCTTTACATTGCACCTAAATATTACATTCGTACATGCCGATTAGTAGTTAAATAACAAATACACCATAAAACATAGTGAGCAAAATTTTATTATAGGTCAGGATTGCTCAACTTTTGCGCTGTAGCGCTAGCACTTAACGATCTAGGCTATAGGGCTATAGGTATAAGATTAGACAGTGGTGATTTAGCCTATTTGTCCAACGTAGCCAGGCAATTCTTCTACGAGATTAGTGAAAAATACAACCTACCCTGGTTTGCAAACCTCACCATCATGGCCTCGAATGACATCAACGAGGAGACCATATTGAGTTTGAACGAGCAGGGTCACAAGATTAACTGTTTTGGTATTGGAACGCATTTGGTCACCTGTCAAAGGCAACCCTCACTTGGTATTACTGTATTATCACTGTATTAACATAAAACTAATGAATACATACTTTCAGGTGGCGTCTATAAGCTGGTGGAGTTGAACAGTCAACCAAGAATCAAGCTGAGTCAGGATGTTGGAAAGGTGACGATGCCGGGTCGTAAAGACGCTTATAGGCTTTATGGTGACAGTGGACACGCCTTAGTGGACTTAATCCAAAGATCTGTCGAGCCTCCTCCAGAGTTGAACCAAAAAGTATTATGCAGACATCCTTTCGAGGAGTCTAAAAGGGCTTACGTCATTCCTACAAGAGTCGAAAAGCTTTTGACCTTATATTGGGAGAACGGAAAAATTGTGCAAGAGTTGCCGAATCTGCAGCAAATTAAGGAGAGGGTCAAGCAATCTCTTAAAACTTTGAGACCTGACATTAAAAGGACCTTAAATCCCACACCCTATAAGGTCAGTTACTTTTCCTGATATTTGATGATGTAATATTAACGATTTTTTGTAGGTGGCTGTGAGTGATAAACTATACACATTTTTACATGAATTGTGGCTCAAAAGCGCTCCCATTGGTGAATTGTCCTAAACGACAGTACAAAACTCTTTTGATACTAATTTGAAAGTAATGGAATTTTATGGATGAATTGCATTTTGGACAGATTAGGGAGGTGATTGTTATGAAGGAAACTAATTATTTTTATAACACAGCGTTTAAAAGCAATACACTAAACAGCTTAAATATATACCTAATACTTTTTTTGAATTTTTTAACAAGCATTTATCAATGTTGACAAATTTAAAAGAGAATCTATTACCCAGATAAAAATATATTATTTGGCTGTGACGTTACACTACATATAGTTTATTACAATGTTGTTTTTTTCCGTTTCTTTGAGTATTGGACATTTTAAAATCACAACTTTTGTAGACTTTGCATTTAATAAACTTATAGTGCTTTTAAAATATTCAATGCTTTTAGAAATACAATAAATATTTTAACTAAGTACTACATTTAACGCTTTTTATTTGCTTATTCCTTCCCAAAATACGTAGGTATAAACTTTATGGGACACATAAATTATAACTATAATAAGCTTAACTTATGCTGCTAATTTTTTGCCAATTGAAATAATAAAAATAATAAAAGCGCGAAATTTCAAACGTTTTTTTAACTAAAGCGCCACCTATAGCGGCTCTCACGAATCAATCCATGCAAAATTTCAGTTCACTACTAAGCAGCGTAGCCATTTTGGATTTGCTATGATTCATACATAAATATTTTGGTGTGGCTGTACGTCACATACGGATAGCGAATGGGTGTTTTGCAAGTGCAAGTGAAATAGAAGACGTAACGTGTGATGATTTTATCGCCGATTTGTCCAATAGGAACGAGAATTCATCGAGGGATCAAGTAGTCTGATTGTGTTTTAGACGGCAACCGCCCTATTGCCGAGTACAGTGACATCATCAGCTGCTACTAAGTTTTATTTTGGGTATTTTAAAGGAAAACCTAGTGCCTAGTTAAATAATGTACATGTAAGTAACTTTTTCGTTAATTTGGGCGTATTATTCGACTAACCGGCGTTCAATTTTAAATTGAAGGGTGTTTTTTCAATGTTTTGTTGTAGTTTTTGATGTTATTACACTATATTAAGGCTATTTATTTTAGTTTAATGTTAATTTAAACCAACCGGCTTATTTTCGTCTTTTGTTTACCATAGAAAGTAATATTTGTCTAAAGGTAATGCAATTAGGGAGAAATATGTCATCTGTTTACAAGATACCGTATTTTTATGAGATAAATACCTAATAATTTTACCGTTTTAGCGTTAAGTTTTTATGCTTAGATAGGTACCTTAGTTAAAATTTATTCAGAAATTACGAACCGACGCAAAATATAATAAAATACCATTAATTAAACAAGCATTAACATTAACATTATTAACCTATTCTTAAATCTAGAATTTGCAACTGCTACCAAAATACCTTATTATTGTGAGAATATGGGTATTTGTTACGTAAAACTACAATATTTTTTCTATAGATGTAAGTATTAAAGATATGTTATTTTTATTCGATCTGGTGGCCCAGCTATTTTGGGAATGTGGGTATTTTCTAATTTTTATACGTGAAAATAACTGTAATAAACAGATTTGCAATAGATGTAAAAATAGACGGTTTGGAAATTTGGAACTTTTGTTCTGATTTAAATAATGGTTATACCCATCCGGTTAAATGAGATAATAACTAATCAATTTAACAGCTTTATACGTTAACACATTAAAATAATGATTTTTGGATTAAAAATGTCGATATAGTTGTCAATAGAATATTTAGCCTTAGTCATATTAATAATTTTTTATTTGTTGTTTTCTTTAATAATGTAATTAAAGCTCATATATAAATGATTCATGATGAGGTAATATTTTTTTATTACTTATTTAGAAAAAACTTTGACATTTTTACTGAACTTAAAGGTTAATTTAGGTTACCCGCTGTTGTGAGCTTACATATTATTATACTTTTTCAGTTTGCTAACAAAGAACGAATAATCACGTGAGCAACCAAACAAAACCTTCAAAATGAGCGTAATGGGTTTCACCGATATCATGCAAGGGCCGTTTGCTCAGTACATACAAATTTCTAAGCAAATCGGAGGTGACGTTGGTCAACAAAGCCAATTGGTCCAGCAGGCTTTCAATGCGCAACTGGCTTACTTACAATTGGCCAGCCAATCGGCCAAACCAGCCAACCAAAACGATCTAATGAGTTTGTTGAAACCGACGAGCGACCAAATCAGCGCCATACAAACTTTCCGCGAGAAAAATCGCACCTCGCAGTTTTTTAACCATCTATCCGCCATCAGCGAGAGTATTCCTGCCTTGGGATGGGTCGCTGTAAGCCCAGCACCTTCCCCATATGTCAAAGAAATGAACGATGCCGGCCAATTTTACACCAATCGCGTCTTGAAAGATTGGAAGGAAAAGGATAAGCGTCATGTTGACTGGGTCAAGTCCTGGGTGCAAACTTTGACTGAATTGCAGGCTTTCGTCAAGCAACACCATACCACTGGCTTGGTGTGGGGCGGTAAGACTGCCCCAACGGGAATACCACCACCACCTCCTGGAGGTTGCCCGCCTCCTCCGCCGCCAGTCGTTGACCTTGGTAGTGCCGGAGATGCTGGGTTGGATAGGTCAGCTCTGTTCGCCCAAATCAATCAAGGAGAGAATATTACAAGAAGTAAGCTATTATTGAGAAATTATATTTTTGGCTAATTAGGAGTTTTAGGTTTGAAGAGGGTCACACCTGATATGCAAACCCACAAAAACACCGGGCTCAGACAAGGCCCAGCTCCGTTCAAAGCGCCGGCTCAGTCTCAAACTAAACCATCAGCTCCCGTAGAAAAACCGCCGAGTTTCATAAGGGACGGCAAAAAGTGGTTGATTGAGTACCAAAAGCAAAACCACAACCTTCTGGTCGATGGGGCCGAAATGAACAATGTGGTCTACTTATTCAGATGCAGTGATTCTACCGTCACCGTAAAAGGAAAAATCAACTCGATCACCTTGGATTCTTGCAAGAAAACCTCCGTTGTTTTCGATAGTCTCGTATCTTCCATGGAATTTATCAATTGCCAATCCGTTCAGATGCAGGTTTGTATTTTTGTTTGGTTTCGAGAAACAACATTTTAATAATATTATTTTGATGATGTAGGTGTTTGGTAAAGTTCCAACTGTATCTGTTGACAAAACCGATGGCTGCCAAATTTATCTAAGCCCCGATTCGTTAGATGTGGAAATCGTCAGTTCAAAATCTTCGGAAATGAATGTACTCATACCTAAGGGCAACGGTGATTACGTGAGTAGTGTATAATTATTTTCATGATTTTGTACTAAAATGATTTTTTTAGACCGAGACTCCAATCCCCGAACAATTCAAGACTACCATAACACCAAATAAAACCCTGTCTACCATAATAGTAGAAAGCAAGGGTTAATTTTACAATAAAAATAATAATAATACTAATTTATATTTATCCTAGAGTCTAGTACCTAGACTAAAACTAACTAAATAAGCAATTTTATACATACATTTGTAAATTGATACGCGCGCTAGTAAAAAAAGCAATATTTCTTAAGGTATATTTATTTGGTTGTGGATCATATCAGAACAATTCTTTTTGTAATCATGTGTGTTACTGTAACTAAATGTTTATTTAAAATATTTGTTGGGCTTCATAAATAAAAACGTATTTCATTTAAGCCGTTGTTTTATTCAATACTTTGTATATCCAAAAATAAAACAATAATAATTTGATATATTTATTTCAAATGAAAACAGGAACAATCATAGTAAGCTGTACTGGATTTCTACATAAAAAGTGGCCAGCACATAAAAAAAGCGCTTGAACAGTAAAAATATTTCGAATTTTATGCTACTAATACTTTCTATAATTCTAATAAAAATATTAAAATTGAATAATTGAGATCAACATTGAAAACTTACTTTCCTACAAAATAAAAGGACAATATGTGTTTTTCAAGCGTATGATGAAGTTAATCAACATTACTTTTAAAAGGTTGACCAACTGAAACCCAGAAAAAAAACGAAAAAAATAATCTATGGACGCGTCAATTTTTTCTGGGCCCAAATGACTAGAATAATTAATATTTATAATAAATAATAACCACACACTCTTGTGATTTGCACAGCCACAATTTCATACCTTCAAGCAAAAACAGAGGTACCCAAATATTATAGGTTATAATATATTATCAAGGAAACTGCAATGCTGCATTCTATATTCAGGATTAAAAAATAATTTTAAATTTCAATGTCATGTCATATAGGTACGAAAAAAGTTCAATCACAGCCAAAATTGTAGTTATTTATGTACACTATGGTGTCCCTATAGTCTTGATAGTTCTTATACGTATACGTATATGTAATGATATTTCATCCTTTTTTTAATCCTTACCCTGTTGTGAAACAACTTATAACGTGCATTTGCGTCATGCTGGTGAAGCCTTATAAGCACAGTAGAGAAAGAACAGTGCAGTCACTTGCGCTATTTATGAATGAAATCGTGTCTGCTAATTAAATGGCATCGACTGATCCGAAAACTAACTGTCTGTACTGCTCTCTTCTATACGGAACCTTAAGCATAAATATAAGTATGTGCTGTATGTATTGTATATATGGCATTTGTGTGTATAATGATTTGGGTCCCTCTGTGTCAAAAGTCTTTTTTATATAGTAATACTAAATAAATAAATTCGAAGACTAAATAAATCAATCACATCAGATTTCCGATAGCACCTAGCTTACACTCATTCTTCGGTTTGGTCACAAATAATAATAAAAAAATTTAAATGCACCTGGATGCATTATATTTATTTGTTTTCTCCGTTGTTTTCTAAGTTTGCGAGTACGTCTGGAGCAACGTTTGCCCGCAACAAATCGTTTTCATATTCCAAGTAGCTGATCCTGTCGACCAGCTCGTTTATTTTGACTTTTAGTTCCTCAACCTCCAGTCTTACAGCGTGTGTTAAGTGATTCTTCACCACGTCCTAAAAACACGTTAATATCATTAAAGATTTCAGTCTGGCTAGGCGTTTAATGAAAAGCTTTTCTAGGAAAGCGTAGATAATTACATGTTTTCGTTACATATCGATTTAATTTCACTATAAACATGAAAACGAGCTGCAATGTTGAATTTTATAAAACATTAATTGTTTGGCAAACATTTAAGTCACGTAGCCATGTAAAAATAATGATAGTTTCACATTTAAAAATAAAGCAGACTGCTTGGTTCCTTTGATGTGTTAATTTGGCAAAATTTGAGAATTCTTAGAAGCACTTACCAATGCATGTTCAATTTTTGTGTCAATTGTCGCCGTGCAGGACACTGAGGCACTAAAACAAGAAAAATATTGTTTTAGACGAACAAAATGTTGTTGTTTTCTCACCCGACAAAGTTTCTTATAAAACAATAAACCGCGAAAAATGTGGCTTCGTTAAAATCGAGATCTGACACCACCAAAGGTAAATCGGTGGCAATCTGCGATTCCGGACTTTTCCGCCCATTAGCTGGACTTTCGACTGCTTGATGATGGCTTGTTGCCATTTTAAATAAGTTACATTGTCATTGCTTCGCACATTTGCGATTTATACACTTGGGTGGTCTGTATTAAACTATTTGTTACTACGAATTTATAAAGGTGTAGCGTCTGCGTCTTTTGTATTGATGTGATGCGCAATGCAGCGTCGCGGCGCTTAGTTTTTTACTGATATGAACCGCGATTTTTGAAATTAACGAAAACAAATTTACTCACCGATTTGTCGATGTGATTATTTGAGTTGCTGATTCCTGAGTCTCGGCTGCCATCGCATAGGTCTGGTCGGTATTTATCTCATTTATCTTCTAACAATAAAATTAAATTTTTTAATGGAATAATGTTTGACAGAGTTAGGGAATACTTTTACCTCGTTTTTAACAACTGAACACACTGTAGTAGTGGAATCTAAACTCGGAGAATGACTAAAATTTGGTCTTATAGCATTTGGTGAGACTGGAAAAGAGGTCCTGACTCTCCTTTGATTATTAAGTACATCGGGTATTAAATAATTTCCTTGGAACATGTAGGCTTCTTGGCAGTTATTTTCCCAGTAATTGGAAGTTTTTTTCTCGTTTACATTCTCCTGTTTGTCCAGATAATCGAAGCAAGTCCATCGGCCCCGGCTAAATGGGGCAACACTTTCGATTTTGACGACTTTAAAACGCCCTAGACCCAAATCGCTGTTTTCCACGTTTTGCCACTTGTCCGATTTGTCCGGAGGTTTCAGGAGGATTGTAGGGGGGCTGTTGTAGTTTTGATAGGGTTCGTCGCAATCCCTGGAATCCTCCGAGAAGCTCGGGGTTTCATTGTCTGTTACCCTGGATATGTCATCGGTGTGACTTTCGTCTAAATCGTCGGCAGAGTCCTCACCCAAGTCGTATCTTGTCAAACTGACACCTGTTATTTGAAAGGAGCAGCCTGGAGACGTCGCTTGCGATTTTTTCCTCAAATTGGTCGAAGCCGATTGAACGGAAACGCGAATTGGGTTGTGATTGATCAGGTCACATTCACCTAACCTAAGAGTTTCACTTGTGGTTCTATGTATTACAGTTCCTTTTTTGCTTTTAATTGGTACACTAGCCATTTATTGATAAAATATTAATTAAAAACAACACAACACTTATTATAGTTATTAAACGAGTATTATAGCAACGAAAAATAATGTTTAAATGAACAGAATAGTCTATTTGCGCTCGCAGGAAAATTTAACCTGCTGCCATATTAAACTATGCAAATCTGCAAAATAAATTTTCTTAAATTTTACCGACGTTGGGTAAAAAAAAGTCAGCATCACAGTGACTTGCGTGCTTACTGAACGTGTACTGCACAACTCTGATGCCACAATCGCCCAGCCAACTTTTCGACGCTTTTCCTCAGAGTTTCCCACTCAAATCACTTTGCAAATATGTAGGGTCATAGAAAAATCATTGACACCCGTCTCTAATTACTTGTGCGTAAACGAGTTCTGTTATTAATATTTCCGCAACTTTTACTTCGTTTGTACCTATGCCAAGTCAGTTTAATGATTTACCCTACTTACCTACAGATAGTAAAAATAACTATTTGCGGAACTCCGCAGTAAAAAAATTGAAATTTTTCCTGGCGATCCATAAATAATAAATTAATTAATTACTAAAGAATTCTTATTATGGTAGTTCGTAAACATTGATAAGAAAATAAAAAACACACTTAAGTAAATAATTAAAAGATATATATAGCCGAATTACCCAACCATAGCTAAATACTTTAAGCCCTCTAGATCCCCCACAAGTAAAATTACATAAAAAACGTAAACCGATGTGACACAATAGAAGATTTTAGATTTGCAACTATCTCTCGATGTTTGTCATAAGTTAAATCACAATTAAACGTTGATGACATTATCTTGTGAACTTAACAAATAGAAATTAACAATACTACAAATTATAATTTATTATCAGTTATAACTTCGTACTTTGTGTTCGAGTGTAGTTTAAATATGGGCGAAGAATCTAATGAAGTAAGAGAAGATGGTAATAAAGCTATCGCAACCGAAATTGACGATGAAGTTATTGAAAAACAGAAATGGGGTATCAACCCTAACCTGATTATGCTTAAGTTGACTCTTTTCGTCTTCTATGGAGGTCTGTTACTTTTTACTTTCTACATTTTCCACTAACAAACAACATTTCAGCTACATCATCTTTGGTGCCCTATCTAACAATCCATATGCAAAGCATTGGGCTAAGCATGGAGCAAATAGCTTTGATCTATTTATCTCTACCTTTTACCACATTCTTGGCGCCACCTCTCACTGGTTATCTAGTGGACAAATTCGGACAGTACAAACCAGTGGTGATTGTTTCGTTCATCCTAACTGCATTATTGCACCACTCTCTTTTTTTGCTACCCACCCAAGAAATCCCAGGTACAGTTCCATCAGGTTATATTATTATACACCCGAAAAAAATGCGGATAGATATTTGGTGGAGCCCTTGCCCCAGTAGAGAGTGTCCCGAGCAGGACGAGGTGGATTTGACGTTGGATAAGTGCGTTGATCACTGTCTACTAAAAAACAGAAAAACCTGGAATATAACTCAAACAAATCCTGGAATAGAAGACGACTTATCATTTCATTTGGGGAAAAACAAATCCAATGCTTGGTGAGTTTAAACACGTACTATTTGTTTGTACTTACCTAATCCTTGGAAAAATACTAAAAAGATAAAAATTTCAGGAACCTCACTTTGGCTATGCACGACAATTTGGGCGACCCAATCGAACAATTGGGCATAGAAATGGACCTGCCCGATGAAGATGATGGTATAACGGATATAAAAAAGCGATTTCCTGAAAGAATGCTGAAAAGGTATGGAGTTGACGTTAATGAACTGGATGAGCAAGATCTGCGTTGTGGAGGAACGGTGGGCGATTTTAACGAAAGCACGCAAACAAAGTTGTTTTATTACTCCAAGGATTGCATTCTGCAAAAGTGCGAATTTCGATCTGGAGGACCGGCCGTCTGCCCGCCAGGCTACATAAAAAGCGACGATAACACTTTTTGGATATATTTTTGCCTTCGATTTGTTGCAACCGTGGCCCTTACGGCTGGCGTAACCATAATGGACCCCATAGCTTTAACTATGATCGAAAAATTCGGGGGTGATTTTGGAAAGGAACGATTATTCTCCAGTTTGGGAATGGCGTTGTTTTCCCCTGTGACAGGGGCTTTAATAGATTGGAATTCTAAAAGATTGGGCCACACAGACTACGCCTCGGCCTTTTACACGTTCGATGTGCTATTGTTTGTAGCCGCCATTGCCGTGTGTTTAATGCCGTTGGGTTCCAAATTACCAGCTGATAATATATTCAGCGATCTCATGAACATTTTTAAAATGCCGCATCTGGTAGCTTTCATATTCTTTATGTTTATACTTGGGAATTTATGGGGTTTCATCGAAAGCTACCTTTTCTTTTACCTGAGAGAGCTAGGGGCTCCAAATATACTCCTCGGAATCACCGTCACTGTAGGCACTATAAGCAGCTTACCGTTTTTGTATGGAGCCGAGAATATAACGAAAAAAATTGGGCATGTTAATATTATCATAGTGGCATTTTTCGCCCATGCAGCTAGACTGGCGGGATATTCCGTTATTGAGTTAGTTTTTGAGATTTATTAACAATTTTTCTTATATTCCTAATATGTTTTAGGAGCGCTTGGTGGTGTTTCCCATTTGAAGCTATGGAATCTCTGTCGGTTCATCTTATGTGGGTGGCTGCAGCCACGTACTGCGCCATATTGGCGCCAAAAAATCTTCTAGCCACCCTTATTGGTGTAATTGGTATGGCTCACTTTAGCATCGGTAGAGGTACAGGTAGTTTCTTTGGAGGTAACATCATCGGTAAATTTGGTATAAGACAAAGCTTTCGCTTGATGGCGTTTATTTCGTGTTCATCCGGTATCGCTTACGCCTTGCTGTATTATTTCTGGTTGAAGAAAATCGAAGAGAGGGCTGTGAGAGATGACGCCAACGTCGTGGAGAACGGCGAGATTGACAAACTGAAAGACGATGAACCCAAAACAAGAGATGTTGGAACTATGTGCAGCTTCGAGAAGCTGGACAGTCGTCTTAGCTTGGTGGTGGAGTACAACCAAATAGGTTCATTGACATCTTTAGGAAGAGTTAGAGCTGATGGTGGATTGCTTAGAAGAAGAAGCATTAGTATGAGGAGGGAGAGCGATTTTGGGCCCATTATAAAGAAGAATAGTAAAACTGATTTGTTGAAGTCGGCTATTGAGGTTAACCAGTCGAGGAATTCTATAAAGGCTTCCAATAATCATATTAATTTGCTAAATGGGGGAAGTAGCGCTAGTGATAAAGTATAAAATGCATTTATTATATTTTGTCTTTGATGATACCTAATATATTTTATTTCAGTTAAATGCAGCTTCAAGTACTCCAAAATTGTCCCAAAGAAGTGCGAGTATTCTTCAGGAAAAGGAGTCGAATGTATTGAATGAGAAGGATGAAATTGTTTACGATGAGATTAAACATAAAAAAGCTGAAACAGAAGATAGTGAAGAATCCTAGTATTTACTTACCTTATAACTATATCTCTTGTGTAGCATAAGACTTTTATGTAACTGTGTATATTTTTATTAAAAAGTTTACTCAAATTGCGAGGTTTAAATAAAACCAAGGTTTAGTGGGCACATTTTGCTACATTTATTTAACAATTGTATGTTTGTTGTATAACAATTAGAATACAGGCTAAACATGCTTAACACACAAAAGCTATATTCTATAATGCTATAAATACTATCATTTGAACCTATTGCAACAGACAGCGACGGCCTAATTAAAAAAACAATGATTTTATTGAGGTTATTTTTTCATATTACATATACTTAGGTTTGTTTTTTAAGATTTGTAATAAAATAATAGTTTTTACTAGGCCGTCACTGATAACAAAACAAAATAACAGCGAATAAAATACATTATGTATATATATTATATTACATTGTTAAAATAATTACATATATTTAGAATATATACAAAAAAAGACAAAACATATTTTGGAGGATTAACGCAACGACATTAGAGAATATTTACAAAAGTTACTATCAAATTAAAAGTACGTAAATAACAACTTACCCAAGCAGCATTTTTGGTTCCAAAAACCATTGCCAAAGTGGTGATAACTTTAAATTAGTTAAGTATACTAAACAGCTACTTTAATTTTTACTTAAAAGTAATTCTAACTTTTAAATAGCAATATTTTGTAACAGAAACTTAATTTTTCCTTAAATTGTTACTATAAAGTAATAAACATTTAAGTAAAACTTGGTTGCCCCCAAGAAGACTTTGCAACTTTAAAAAAGATGTTATAAGTAAAAAAAACTTTCAAGTAAATTTAATTTGTAGCAGTTACTTTCGGTTGCTACCTAAAGATTACATTATAATTATTTTTACTTTGTAGTCCCTTTGCAAGTTAAAATCTCGAAACTGGAACATGAGTTAAAAACTACAAAGTTAATAACTTAAAAGTTATTATTTTAGTATTTGGAACGTTTATGGTACTAACCAAAACAACCGTAAAGTGGAAAAAAACTTTAAAGTAGCGAAAACTACTTCAAAGGAAAATGCTTCTTATCGGCCATTTTTTACTGTACAGTACCACGTGGTAATGTAAATAATAAATTATTTTAATTGTTTGTAAATGGTTGTTTACTTTTTAATAAATAGAAATATTGTTGGTAATAGACGGTATTAATAATTAAATAAAAAAAATAATAATAAATATTAAGATTTTTTTATTTATAAACATTACTAAATAAATAATTTGTTTATACTTAAATATTGATGAAGCGCATTTATTTTACAAAAACTAAATTCATAAGTTCAACAGTAAAATTTAAAGGGTTTATAAATCTACCTGTCTAATTAAATATTATATTGTTATTCTGGAAGTTATAAACTACCAGTACATATTTAATAAACGACGACATTGAAAAGCCAAGTCCGTAGTGGTTCCATTTAAAAAAGGAGGGATAGTATAATCTAATATAAGTTTGACAAAGACAGTTAATATAGAAGTAAAAACAAATAATAAAAGTAATTATAACGCTCTAGCAACGATATTGGAACGTTCTAGTAACGTAGCAGCTACGTCCCAAATAGTAGCAGGGATGGTAGCTAGTGACATATTTGCTACCTTTTTGGAACTCAATAATTGTTCCCCACTTTAGTCGTAACGTAGTAATGAAAGAGTAATATAAAGAGACCGGCGACTGTCGCAAAACACTTTGAAGTTTCTTCAATAGTCCCATATACGTAACAAATACTTAAATTGTTGCTTGGGTATTCTATAGAAAATTGATTTTATATTAAGTGATAGTTACTTTTTTAAGACATATAGACGTAGGTGTAGACCCGAAAATATCCCTTAGATAGATATTACTAGAAATCGAAAAATACACATCATATAAAATCATAACGAGTATAGCCATTTTATTTTATTTAAGTAAGAAGATTCATAAGTATTTAGGTTTTGAGTGGTTTCGATTCTTTTGCAAGCATTTGACATTCCGAAATGTGCGTAGCAATTTTGATCATGCCAATGGTTTCGCTTAATTAGACCATAGTATAGAATATTGACTAGAAATATAGTTTCAAAAACGATGATATTTGGAATGTAATATCAGTCATAAGTACATAGAGCCGTTGAACGGTAAGGATTACTTCAAGTCAGTTTCTTCCTGAAGGATTTCTTCAATTTCCTGCTCCCAGTTGGGATTGTTGGCCTTATGTTCGCTGACTAGCTCGTAGTCCTGCAACTCGGCTTCAAGTTCGCGTTCCCAGTCTTCTTCTAAGCAAATAATATCAGGGATAAGGATAGGCAAAACTCAAAAAAAACCAAACATAAAAAAACAAAACCAAAAAGTATATTTACATTAAAGTTTGTTGGATTTGAGCAAAAGGACCAGATGCTCAGAGTGTTAGTTTCCTGTTTGTGTTGAATATGAAGGAATTCTGAGCATTTGGTAGGGTCCACACCTCAACAGAATTAATTTTAGTAATACAAACAATCGCTCAAGTTATATTTCCATCTGTGCAAGTGTAATTAATAACTCCAAAAGCGCAACCACCGTCATCATGTAGTTGAATTGAATCAAACGCTTCGGAAATATCAAACTGTACAATAATTGAAAAGTTATACAGTTGCATACATGTTAGTTTAACTAAAGAGACTTACGTTAAATCTTAATTTACACACTAACATTTTTTAAATTTACTCTCAAACCAATCCACCGTATTGTCTTTTTTAAGCAATCAAAACTGCACCCTTGCTATAATTTTAGGAAGACCATAATATACATGTACATACTTAATAAAGTATATGTAATTAATTACACTAGGTTTGCATTTACAATGAAAAATTTTCTCTGTCAGCAAAAATTACTCAAGGGCTACAGTTGTAATCAGTAGTATCCTTCACTAAGGCAAAACATTGTCTACTGTCAAATATTTAACAATTGTTGAGTTAACTCAAATGCATCTGGAAATAATTTGTGCTTTCCGAATAGTCTATCCGCGACTGGCAAGTTCAAGGCACCATTTTCCACGTTTTATTTTATCAAATTCAAAAACATCATAGCCTTATACTTACCATTTTTAATTTAATTACTATACAAGTCACAAAACACCGCAAGTTTATAGGTGTGTTTAGGTACATACAATCTATAGTTCTATTAAAATTCTTTGCCCGATCTGAGGGGTTCTTATTTAATTAATTAATATTGCTTCATATAGACAATTTTCTATAGAAAGTAAAGTCGCAAATTTTAAGAAACACCCCCTGTTATCTTAGTATACAATCATTAATTTTAACACTACATTAAACAGTTATACAGGGACAATTAATAATTTATATTATTGCACAAATTTGTTCCATTGATGAATTTGACATCTATCTTAGCAACCAGTAGAGTTTCGTAAAGAGAAAAACGTTATAATTAACTTTAATACTGACTATCTATGTTTTAAGTTGTGGTGTGTGAAGCAATTTAATGAAATTAAAACATAAAACAAACTAAAAAGTTAAGGACTAGGAAATTGGTTAATTTCTCGTGATAAAACTAACTAAACTAAAAGTGAGGATTTTTTTACTTTGTTAATATTTGACTAATTAAGAAAAGGATAGGAAAACGGAGGAAGCAAAGATGACATCTTCTTCTTAAGCTGCAGCAAAACCAAACAGGAAACTAACCACTGATCTTTTAATAACTCTTTTGTTAATTACACATGCAACAACTAAAGCTTTACTTTTTTGTTCAACAAAAATTAGACAACTTGATTGACTTTCGCTTTGGTTGTCTTATTTTTGCTCTTTTTCTTCGTACCTTTGGTTTTCGATCCAAGTGCCAGTTTTTTCATTCCCTCTTGGACCTCGACTAAATCTTCACTTCTGGCTTGCAATGTGTCAGATACAAACTCATGCGAGTCTTTACTTGCACTATCTACTTAAAAAAAACAAAAACAATGGAGGCGAATGAACAAAATAATCATGTTGATGATAATCTTGAAAAAGTAAAACCATATAGAGCAGTAAGTCGCTTACCTAAAGGTTGATCGGAGATGAGAGTTTCTGAAGCAGAATGACTATCGCCTTCTCTTGACATAAACGACAATTCGTTGGCCTGGCAGATTAGGCTCACGCGGTAAAAGTAATTCTTCCAGAAGTTTTCTTCGGATATTCTAAAAAAGTATTTTGTTGCACTGTCAGCTTGTTCTCGTCACTAAGTACTTACACTTTAGGCACAAGTTCGTAGCGCATTTTTTCCAAGTTGGGGTCCTGTTCCATTATGGCCATAGCAACGGGATAAGACACTTCGTAGTCGAATTGGAAATCGACTCCAGCTGGCGGGCTGCGAACAAAATTCCTCTTGTCAGTTGACAAGCTCAAGCATTCGTCCTTGAGGGCTTCTTCATTTGAACATCCTGTCCACGGTGGTAGAGATGTGGCGGTGTTGCCTTCCTGTCCTTTCATAAATGCTTCCTGTTCCTTATTAAACTCGCCTAAAATACTCTGAAAAATTTCAATATTCATTAGTGATGTGAAACAGTGGCAAACGACACCAAAGTTGTTGGAGACTGGAAAATGCAAGACAAACATTCAAGTATACGGGAATGAGGGAGTATGTAAATAGAGACTGTAGACTTACATTCTTTTCTACAGTTTCTTTAATTTTAGCACTAGCTTCACTAACAGTTTTTCCGGCCTTATTAACAGCTGAGTAAAGGAAACTTCCAAACGATTTAGCCCCTGCTAGTGCTTTACTTTGCACTGTGAACAAAAATACAAATTAATAACTGGAAATCGACAATCTTTTTACCACCAATAATAACATCAAATTCAATGCAAACGGTTACGAAGACAACGGTTACCAACATACCATTTCCAAGATGGCCGTCTTTTTCCTCAGTCGGAGATTCAGCTGCGGACCCTGGACCGGAATCTGCCCCTCCGGTTGCACTATAATTCCTATATTAAGTTTTGTTGGACAATATTTCATCTGCTATTTAACTCACCTTGAATTATCGTCGTCATCTTTCGGCATTGGTGAAGAACCTTTGGCCTCAGAGCCTGGACCAGCTGCGTCATCTGTGATACCCAAATTATCCTCACCAGTGGCCTCAGCCAAACCCTCTTCACCTTTCCTTAACTTTGGGATACTGGATCCCAACCAACCACCTATACCTTCAATTTGTGACTTTACGTTTGTTAGCATCGCTAATTTACCACCCTCTGCTGTTGCCTTTGTTGGACTAACAATAAATAATGGAGTTTATATCAAGAATTCAAATATCATTGTTTTAATAATGCAATTCCTAAAATTTGCATTTTTACTTTCTATAGAAAGCAATAAACCACTCAAAGCACATCAGCAGTGTTCTGATTGGTATATTTTTATTTATAGAGATCATTTTCTTTAGAGAGAAAAGACGCAAATCTCAAGAAGAGTCACTATAGGTTATATTATTGATTTGGACTGACAAGTGTGCATCAAGAATTAATTAATTGATTATTGCAATTAAAAAAAGGATTCTAAGCATGTTTGAGGAAGAGTTATTTCAGTAGGTATCTGTAGGGGTTCTAATTAGGCAAAAAAAATATCGATTACCAACTCTTCTACTTTTAAGAATATGCACTTTTAACGTATGTTTCTTTTGCAAGCGACTTATTGATTTATACCATTAAACAACTTTAACCTACCATTAGGATTTAGCAAGATAAAAAATGGGTATAAATTGTCCATTATGAACATGTATGTACAGTATTGTTGCTAGTAAATGAGATAGGTAGGTACTTCTAAAAAGTGATGTTTTTATTTTTTGCAAACAAATGGTGAGTCATCGGCTTTAAAAAATGAAATAAACAAATAAATGATAAATATGCGTAGGAAGTATTGTGAGGAAAGTGAAACCGTTGTGCATTTATCAGAAAATAGGACTAAATCGATAAAATTTAGGTCAAATGTTGCAACGCACCTCCCATCCTTTTTGTCAGGACTAAGAAGGACGTTACTGTCCTCCGTAGGAGTTGGGACCTTCTCTTCATGATCCCCTTTAACATTCCCCATCCATGATGTTACTTGATTTGTGAGTCCCGAAAACATTTTGCGTGCTTATGTTGAACACCACACGGTTTACACGAAACTATGTTATTTAAATACAAACACTGGGTTATGGTATTTATTAAACACCTCTTTTAAACATATTACAGTTAATAGCGGAAAATGTAGTTAGTATCAGCTCTACTACGATCTTTAGCTAAGACCTTAGCTTTGTCATCTACCTTGCGCTGCAATCGTGCGCAATAACACCACTCTGCCTCATTAATGTTCACACTACCCGCATACAACGTTGCCAAACATCACTTAAAATCCCGAAAACTAAAAAAAAGGCAAAACTATATTTTCAGTCACGAACATATATCTACATTAGCTCTTTGCTTTAAATTTACCATAAAATATTTTAAAGCTAAAACTTAAAAGCAAATAATTAAATTTTATATGACTCCATAAAAAGTAACATTCTTTAAAGGACATTTAAAAATTAAATGGCGTGTAAAAGTCCGACAACAATGTACAGTTCAATAGTGCGCATGCCTTTAGCGCAACAGGGCTAAATGCAATATAGCCAAATTAAAAAATGTTACGCCTTTAAATCGTTTCAAGCACAACAAAAAATAAAATAAATGGATAATGTATAAAAATAATAAAAATATATTCGTATATATGTATTTACCGAAAAAAATGTTTTTAATATTGAAGGGTCCTTTTAGGAGACGAAGTGAACTTTGGCAACATCTTTTATACTTTTTGCGCTTGTCAGGATGGTTTTTAGTCAAGGACAACTATATAGGAAATAAATATCGCGCACGACCTTATATTTTTGCGGAAGGGGTTGAATTAAACCTCAATATTTTCTTCCACTTGTAGCCCCATAAGTTATGGGCCATAACAAAATTTATTTAATATATTTTTTACATTATTTAAAACTCTGCCCAAATACCTACTGGTTTACACTATATTTCAAATACAAAATAATCCATAAATGTTTAGGTTAGGTTTTTGAGGTTTGGCCAAATTATTTTTATCGATTGCAACCGAAAGGACTTCGACGAATTTATTATAAGAGCATTGTGTTTATTAGGTGTATAACTAGTTGCCTAAAGGCAAAACCCATAGATGAAGTACTTTTACTTTATTTTATTTTAAAGATTCGTCTTGACTGAAGTATTTTAACATGGTAATTAATTGTCTTAATAGGATCATTTCGATTTTATGGTCGGCTTAAACGGTTTTAAGTATTTTTATTATATGGAACATTTTAGAAATTACTTCCAAGTAAACAAAAGCCGGGTTTTCACTTCATTGGTTTAATATTACGTTTATTTATTGTGTTTGACTAAAATTATTTTTTAATAAGTACAACCGTTGAGTACAACTTTCACTTAAATAGGTACCTATTTTTGATTTGATAATAATTATTGAGGTAATTGAATGATTTAATAAATCATATGAAAACTGGTTAGAAATTTATAGTTTTCCTTATTACAATTAATTAGTTAATAAAAACATCAAATCACTTTCCCATTCATTTGATGTTTAAAAAACCGGTCACATATTACTTAATCTTACTATAGGTACAGAATCTTAAGATTTTTTTTATTTTGCCGCCAACGCTGTGTTTCACTTTGTTTCATTGAACCTTTCGAGAACTTTTGATCATCTATTAATATTTTATCTAATTTTTCTAAAATTTGTAGTTTGTTTGTGTTGAATAATAGTTTTTGAGATAATTCTTGACGCCTCTCTGAAAAAGCCAAGTATCACTTGTTTGTGTTTATCTGATAAGGTGAAGATAAACAAAATGTGAGCGCACGTTAATAAAAAAATATGTATTTTTTTGGATTTACACCTGCTTGTGGTCCTTCTGCCCACCCTATATGGGACACGGAATTTTCAACCATAGAAATATAGAAATTAATCAGCTGTCTCCGGCAGGCACATGCGCACAACAGGGCATTGCTAACGATACTGCATAGATGAAAATTGGACGGCCAGAGACACCAACTGTCTCTGGTTGGTTGACGTCTATCTTTGGTGCGTTTGTGATGTTTTGAGTCCATATAACCTTACATATTTACGCGGATGTGAATAGGTTTTTTTTTAAATAATTTTTCTTATAATAATGGTGGCTAAAGTGAAATGGAAGTTGAACTGCAGTGGTTTAGTGATTGTTTTTTTGTACTTTTGTGCTTTTAAATGTGCTACAGGACACAAAGCATGTTCTCATGTGCACCCTAAACATCATGAGGTAGTGATGTCGTATTTCGAATTAAAATATTCGTTTAATCCGAGTTTTGAGATATTCGGATGCATCCGAATAATGAAATATTTTATGGAATCGGAATCGGATTCGGAATAATTTCGTATCCTCCTATGAAAAATCCGATTTCGGAATCCGAAATTCGGATGAATTGCATTCGGTATCAAAATTTATTGTTTATACCGTAGCCCTCTAGTTTTTACCAACCGAACTCGATGACGACTCATACGTTAAAAAAAATGAAAACTAAATAGTTAAATGTCAACTACCAATACGGAACACCATTTAAAATTATATTAGATATAGGTATATATTGCCTAATATTATTTACTTAATTTTTGATATATTTATAATAAAATGGTGTTAATTTAAAATTAGTTAATTAAATCAAATCGGTTTCGAGTTTAAAGGTATTTATGTGAATTCGGAATAGGATGATTAATCCGAATATTGAAATATTCCGATTCCGGATAATCCGAATATCTAAATCATCCGAATATCTGCATCACTATCATGAGGTTAGAAGTTTTTTGAGTTATGTTCCGACCGGTTTTATTTATTTATTTAGGTATGAGTTGTTAAGGAATTTTTTTCATTAATGATTTAAGAGTAGGTAATTTACTATTGGCCCAAATTGTAATAAAAACCCTGAATAATTCAAAATCAAACGAATTACCTTAATTTATTATATTATACTATTAAACTTAATTTGTTTTATTTTCGATTAGGTATTCAGGGTTTTTACTACAATTTGGGGCAATTTATGAAATAGTCGATTAGTCTTAAAATATAAATGGAAAATTTGCCTTAACAACTTATAAATAAACAAATAAAACATATTAAACTATACGTACTGTAGAATCAATAGCGGACAGTTCATCTGCCTTGTTAAGTAAAAAGGTGCTAACTACTGTAATATTGTAGTTGACACTTAGCTATAGCACGGCAGAGGACATATCCACTTTTGATTCCAAAAGACTTGTATGTAAATTATAAAACGAAGGTTTATTAAAAACTTGATAATTCCACAAAAAAATCAAACAAAATATCTGCACTATCAACTAGTTAGTTATAAACTGAAGATGCAGTCTAAAAAATATGCAAGGATACCAAGGAAGAACTAAATACTATTGTGATTTTTCAGTGTGTACACCTTGAGTTATTTCCTTCTTTTAATAATATTAATGTATATAATTATTTTTTTACAATTACAAGCGTCGTGTCTGAAGGTCTGCTGATTCACATACTTAGGTACTTTATATATTATTTATTATATTTTTAATATGATTTTATCTTAAACTTTACATTACCGGTTCGGTCCTTTAAATCCTCTTGTGTAAAGTAAACTTTATTAGATGTTATGAATTTAATATATAATGTACATACAATATTATAATAAAAATAAGGTACCTATTTTCCATAAATTTGTAATTTTTCTCTATAATGAAAGGTTGATGTATTCATTTAAAGATTACGAAATAGCAACAATCATGTCTATATTTGTTTTTTTATCTGGAAGATCTCAAATTTCTCAAACGTCTTAAGGCGAAAAATATGTATGTAGGTATATAACAGGATACTAGGTATTGTTTTTTTCATGTATAATGATTAGAGATGGGATTTCAGGTCGCAAAATTTATATAAATAGCTTTTAAAGTTTTTTCTTGTTATAGGTGAGAAAATTCTTAAATTAGGTACGTAGTTCAGCCTGTGGGCCAAATGCTATTTCGCCCACTAGTGGGAGAAGTTAAATTCCGCCCACCGTTTTAAGTACATAAAAAAAATGGTGTTAAATAAAACAATTAACTACAGGTCACTTGTCTTTATAATTTATGTTTACAAAATTAAATTATTCTCACAAAATTGCACAACTCCCGAAAGGGAATATGTATTACACATTGTAGAACAATGCAATTTCGGTCAAATTTAATGGTTTAATTAAGGTTGTTATCACGTAAAACAAAATGTAGGATTTACTACATTGATAGCTCTTTAGAAGCGTTAGGCGTGTAATTGAGTTTTGTAATTACAAGGGAAATTGCAGTTTTGCTAACAATATGTTTAAATAAACGATATTATTATACTGTGCACTGGTAAATATGATTGAAGCATTAATTAATTTTGATGCGTGCTGTGTGTTTATTTTAAGCGAATTTTTTTGACAAGATAAACAAAATTCCATTAACTATAATATAGCATATTATGATAAGTATACAGTGTGTCCCGAAAATAGTGTGCATACTGTACAAGTGGTTTTTAGGGTCAAAAATAGGAAGAAACCTTTATATGCAAATGGCCATTTTACACTATTTTCGGGACACCCTGAATATATTTTGTAGAAATTATAATCCTCTTTCCTAAACAAAGTTGCAAAGAAATAACAAACTTTAAATTGGATAATCCCAGATAAATTTAGATAAATTCAAATTTTATTGATATTAGTTATAATTAATACGGCCGTGACAACAAAATGGGGGACCCCATTTCGTTGGTAGATGAACAAAACAAAAAACAATTGATCAAATCTGAAGTGTGTAAATGGGAACAAAAAAATTTAATAACAATACAGCAAATATGCAATAGGTTTTTCGTAAAATTGCAATTTTATGTTTCATTGGACGAATGCAATACTTGGAATAAAAAGTATTTTATTTTCAAAATTTCGATTTTATTTTTTCCAGAATACGCTTTAATTTCCATTTTATCAGTTTGGCTTATAAATTGCTTTATTGGTATTATCCGGTTCCAAACTTGAAAACGTGGCTTCAGGGAAAACATTTGATCACTTAATGTTCGTTTTTTTAATTCTATGGTCGAGATGTCATAAAATATGTCAGCCATATAGTATGTATCTCTAAAACTTTCATAGAAAATGTCACCCGTTTTACTTTTACATAGAAAATATGTCATTGAAGATTCTCATTGAGTAGTATATCGGCGTTTTAACGACATCTGAGACAATGAAAGCTAAACAGTAGACCTAGAAATTTATATTTTCACTACTTTTTAGAACACACATATTTTTATTTACCTACCTTGTCAACAGGTTTGCTATATATAAACGGTGTTATGTAAGCATTAAAAAAAATAAATAACCAGTTTTTAGTTCTTTATATAATTTCCCTGATAAAATGATTTTATAGTCCGCTTTTGTCAGATACAATTGTTTATTAATTTTCACCGCTTGGACAGATGAAAGCCGTTTAAAAAAAGAGAAATTAGTAAATAGATTTTTCGTGACAAACATATCAAACTTGAATTAACATATCATCGAAAATTTAAACAAATAAATGAAAGTGAATCTTACAAAATCATTATTATTCTATACACCCAAGTAGCATTATAGTGACGAAAACTGATATCACCACTTCAAATGAGTGGCAATAACGTTTAAATAACTAAATCTACCACGATACAGTTAAAATATCTCCATATTATATTAGCATGGTTGAAATCATGTGATTTGCACCAGCAGAATATATATAAAGTATACTTTATCTCAACGCGGTCTATAATTTAAACTTTATTGTTGTCAACATTCGATAAAGAAATACCTTGTTATGGCCTAGGCCGATAAAAAATTTTATGAGGCAAGTAATTAGTTCGATTTTTTCTCGCTAGGGGTATTGTTTTGACAAATTAATCCTTTTCTAAGAAATTAACGTACTAAACTGGTTTAATTTATTTATAATAAGCACTAATTTGTTTGTTTTACTGTTAATGTTTAATATGTTTCATTAATTTATTGTAAAATTAAATTTGAATAATAAAACAAAAAGTGAGGTTAGGCAACCAAGAAAACGCACGATTCTTTTTCTACGATTTAAATTATCTAAGTTTTAATTTGATTTAAGTTTTTAGTAAAATTAAATGTTAAACACAGCTTAAACATTCCAAACTACCTCTTTTTTAAATAAAAATCCAAACAAATTGAAATTAGATACCTACCTATTTATTAAACAATTAATTGAATTCAATGTAATAGCAAAAATCCATTTCTACTTAAATCATGTTGCTAGGTATTGTCAAACTATTACTGCTTCTAAAAGCAATAATAATTAGTGTACATTTAATGTAATCTTTAGCTAATAAATAAATGAGATTCTAAAAAAGTGAGGTTAGGCCGCTTTGATGTTGAATTAAATTGACCTATATAAAGTGCTTTAAAGATAAAATGTTGTATGCCATTCGGCCAAGAAGTGCCTTTTTGTGCTTCGCTCAATTGTAGGCCGACGCGTAGCTTAGCACAAAAAGCCTTACTTCTTAACCTAATGACATAAATAACTATTATAGTTTTATAACTTTTTGGTGTATTAGTCTGGTATCTGAAATGTTATGACCACTTTTGACACCACCTTAAAGTTGAAACTTTAGAGTGGATTATGAATAGTAACTGTAACCGTAGTAGTAAAGTGGGTATCAGTTTTGGCAACGTTTTCGGAACGGGATTGCCACGTTTTTGCTAAATGATTTCCATGTTTCGTATAAAATTACCACTTTAGTTCCCTTCTTCAAAAGCAGACATGTTTACAAATAATCGCCATTTTAGGGAAATAAATGTGTAGTTTTAAACAAATAATTGTTGTTATTACCTCACCAAATTTAACACGTTAATACATATTTATTGGTTTCAGGTGACCAGAAATAATAAAAAAAATATTTTAGGCCTCTAGATAAATAATTTTCATATCCGTTTGTAGATTTTTTTATTCTTTTTTATTACCACATATTTTAACAGGGCGTTCTTATATTTCAAGCTATGATACCCATGTTTGACAGTAAAATTTAATTCGTGTTAATTTTATATCTTCGGATAATTTTAATTCTAGTTATTATTTGCAAGCTGTATTCTTACAATATTATAATTCAGTGTTAGTTTAATATCCAGTCAGAGAAAGCAAAGATAATAAGATAAATAATATGCTGGAAAGTATACACACATAGAAATGTATATTACAGATAAACGTTACTTCTTTAAGTTAAATATA